TGCAAGCTTTTTATATGCTTATCTTCTTGGAAAAGAAAGGCACAACAGATTCTTGTAGAACATCTGTATATTCCTTTATGATCTCCATAGTATTATCAACAAAAATATTATCGAAAACTTCTCCAGATTATAATTTTTAGCAGTAACCAAATTGTCTCTAAATTCTTAAAGGTCGGAATTTGATTTATTTAATAGCTTAGTAAAGTTATCTGCCAGAGGTTTTAATTTATTTTTAACTTCTTCACTAATTTCGTTAATACCAGAAATAATTTCTTGAATTATCTGACCTTGCTCCATTCTTATGGGCCAGAGTATATAACCCGAATTTTTCCATATATGTCAAACACCATGCATGGAAATTAAAGTAGTATAGCAATATATTAAAAAGATAATTAATGAGAAAGTAGAACGAAAACATTATATTGAAGAAATTTAATAGGCCTCCTCGTCTTGTGAAAGTCTTATTTTACTCCCAAAAATTTCCCTTAGTTCCCTCCATCCAACATTATCCTTGGTGCTTTCTTCTCTTAGACGATTATTATTCCGCATGTCCAATAGAAGCAAGGTTTTGCTGTTTGCAAGCATCTGAACCAACTTTCTTGGAATTTCTCCTAATCTTCTGTTCTTAGTGAAAATGATTTCTTCTATGTTTTCCAGATACCCAAGTATTGGAGGAAGTGTATCAAACAAATTTCCTTCGAGGTCCAGTCTTTTCAGGTTTTCAACTCCACCTATTCCAAAAGGCAGGTCTTCAAGCTTATTGTTTGCAAGGTCTAAATTAACCAGACTGGCTATGTCGTCCATTTTTTCGGGCAACTCTTGCAATTGGTTATCTCTGATGCTTAAATTTTCCAGATACTTCAATTCTGTTATTTCTTCCGGAAGAAAGGTAAGGTCATTGCTGTTGAGATTTAGACTTACTAGAAATGGCATTCCGGCTATTGAACTAGATAAAAACTTCAGCTCATTGTTGCTAACATCAAGTACTTTCATGAATGAAAGATTCTCGAAGTATGCCGGTAGAACATTTATTTTGTTTCCGCTGATATTGAGCTCTATGATCCTGTCTCCCCTCATCATACTATCGAAAACTTCACGAGGCACTTGCTTTCCATTTCTACCTGAATAATTTAGGCGAACACATCTTCCCTTTTTTACCAAGCTAAATACTACATTTATTATGCAAATAATACCAAATCCTCCTATACCTAATCTCATTCTCAGTAGGGATTTTAATCGTGCGTTGAATACTTGAAATAATCTTACGTGTCATCTTAAATTTAATTAAACTACCTTAATAATGAGGCAGAAGGCCATGAGCACCTTCTTTAAAACTTTGATCTTTCAGGCCAATAGTAAGCCAATGAAAACAGAATTAGCCTAATAAGGTCAAAAAACCCGAGATGATTCTTAGACACATCCCATATATTCTTTTTCTTGGGCAAAGCTATTTCTTCTGCCAATGAAATCGATGCCATTACGGCCCCACTCAGTACAAAACTCCACAATACCACAAACATATTATTGGTTTTTGCATTAATGGTAATTGCACAAGTTATTAAGATGATGGCTGCAATAGAAGCAAGATTACCAATACCGCTACTTCTGTAAACAGGACGGGGGAGAAGGCCCAAGCACTTAAATCGAATGTAGTTGATTGAAGAAAATGTTGCAAATATCTTCAAAATGTCCAGCCTGTCATTGCCGAGGCCATAAAGAAATGTTTCTCCAATGCACGTAAACAGACCTGTTAAACATAACACAATGAACACAAGGTATAAAACAGATTCCTTTGAATAACCTCCAGAAACATTCATACGCCAGTTTCTTATTATCCAGTAGGAAAGCATGAATATAGTGAATAACGAACTAGACACTGCCGATACAAATCTGAGCACGTGGTTCTCCCCAGCAGACCTGTCAAATAAATAGATCGCTGTAGGTATCACTATTGATGCCAACCCAAGAGAGTTTGCAAACACACTTATATCGTTTTTTCCGGCATTCATGATACCCATTCCTTCCCTAAGTGAATTTATTATCATACCATGTCCAAATTAGGAAACAAGAATTAAATAATTTCGCTGAGAGGTTAGTTCAAGGACAGTGGTTTTAATTAACTACTTAAATAATTCCATCCATTCCCCTTATTGGGAAGCCAGTAAGTATAGCTAAACATAAAGATTTTTACCTTTATCGATTATTGGGATGAAAATTACGAAAATTCGAATGCCCCCTTCATAAAAAGAAATTATGCCGTCACTCATGCTTGGATTATTTAAACGAAACGAGACCTTGGAGTCACTTATTCTTATTGGGGTGGTTTTAGCCGAAATGAGACTCAATAGGATAGAATCTTCTGGTGTGGGATTCCAGATCTTTAGTCTAGGTGCTGTTGCGTTCTTTGTTGTCCGTGTGTTGGTTACTATAAGCAATGTAGAGCTTGGAGATGTCAATACTTTAGGTTCTATAGCTGTAGCCTCATCAGTGTTTTTGTCTGTTATTGGATTGCTACAAGCAATATGCTCGGTAGTAAACATGAAATCTGATAGAGGAAAGTTATTTTATTCTAAAGAAGGGAAAAGACTAATAGCAGGTGGATACGCCACTATTGTTGCTGCAATTTTCCTTCTAGTTCAGACATCAAAAATTATAAAGACCAAAAATACTATTGAACGAAGAGATTTTATGAATGGGTTGCTGATGATGGTAGCTGCCACTGTCTATTTCTTCCTAGCTGATGATATTGATCAAGAGCAGCTGTCATCTATAATCATATGTCTTGCTCTGGTAGTTGCGCTTCTTTTATTAGTTAGTAGTAATAATAAAGAAGAAAATAAAGTACCCAATAAGGGTATTCTTTCCTACTTAATGGCCTCCTATATTGGTTGGTTTATTGCCTCTGCTCTTGGTATACAAGTAATGGGCGATAAAGTTAAGATGGTTGAGAAGCTTGTAGCCATATTCACAATGTTTGACAAGGCCATATCTATATTACTTTCTAAGTAAGACAATTAAAAGTCTATTGAAACTTCTTATATCATCATATGGTCTTCAAGCTATCATAGATTTTTGAGTATGAGGAGAGGATGTTTTTTATTAATTCCAGAGTTCAGGCGAGAAAATCTTACTGTTCACTTGCTTGCAATCTCTCATAGCATTTCTGTTCACAGCGATGTATGGAAGATAGAACACAACAGCAAGATATGCGATGCAAAATCCATGTGCTAGATAGTTGGGCATTGTCGCAGGATTAAGAAACAACTTATTTATCCCCACAAGTAAGTTAGACCAGATCAGGATAAAAAGCAAATACTTGCTTGTAAAGCGATGTATTTTGAGATCTCTAATTTTAAAGATCTTATTAGATGCTCCACATGCAATTCCTTGCGTGGTATGTAGAAGCATTATCACCATGCAGAAGTAAAGGTTGTGTATTCTACGGCAGGACATCGAATACATACGGGTTCCTAACAATATGGTAACGAAAAAAATGTTGTATAGCACAATGATGCCCGGGTTTTTCTTTTTGAATAAGGCCTTTGATATTCCACTGGCCATGAGGAACATCCCCATCTGTGGCAAGATAAATGCAATTCCCTCGATGTTCGCAGTTATTATATTTAACCTTTTGGTGGTATATATTAGTTCTTCTAGTCCGAAGAATTTCAGGAGGATTTCATGAAGCAGACACATAGCAAATCCTATCAAGAAATCTATCTGTGTATTTATGAATAATGAAGCCAGATTCAAGATTCCAAGTATCAGAAAGAAATTCAAGTGAACCCCAAACTCTGTATCACTGACACCCAAATCAAGTAGTTTTTTGGATAAGTACCTTAGAATTCCAAAAAAGAGAGATGATAGTACATTTTGCACTTTTCTCCGGGGGGTTGCCTTTGTAGAGAAGAATCCGGCGTTGTATACAAAGGAACCCACGCCTACGTCCATCAGTTTGAGCCCATTACCCATACTTTTCCCCAGTTTGCTTCCTTCATAAAAAGAAAAGTCTGATATGAATATGGTAATGGCAACACAGCCCATTATGAGAAGTCGAACTCTGTCTATTGCAACAGACGCATATGGTTCATCGTCTTGTACCACTGAAATAGAAAGCTTTACGGACGAGGATGGATTATCTATTATACTGGCTGGCCATACAGGCGTAGGCATCCAAGGCCCCCATTTTTGGATTTTTGTAAACAGAAAGCACATAACAAATACAGCAAAGAATGAAGCGTAAATCAGGTGCAAATGATTAGGAAAGGCAATCGTTAGATATAATGGAATGATAGAAAATAGAAACTCAAACAATGCATACCTTGGGAATACTAAGTGATATATCAATATGGACAAATGTGTTATACTTGTAATGCCAAATAGTTCGACTTCACTAAGAGTCTTCTTCATTATGGGGTAGACCTTATATGAATAAATTGGCTAAAGCAGAATGCAAAAATAGAAAATACCAAATTTATTTTCTAACCTTTCCAATAAAGCTTTAAGGTCTTCAGTAAGCTCATCCGAAAAGTACTTTTTCAAGATACTGATCGATTCCCTTGTAACCATAGAATATATAATATCTTCTTGGTCAAAATGCCTCCCGAACATACGAGGTGGAAGGTTGTGTTTCGCTTCAATCTTGATGGCCACTTTTTGGTCCTTGGTTGCCTCTTTGACCACCTCTTTGTTATTTTCAATAGAGGTTACTGTTCCAAGCCTAACAACCTGATCTTCCTTGAACACACACAACGGTGTCCCTATTTTCAGAATTCCCTCCCGAACATGAACACCTATTACTAACGGGCTCCTAGAGTTGAAAATGCACTTTGGGACAATCGACATCTGAACAGGAAATACCGCTTGTTCCATATGCATCTTCTTGTTTTTTTCTTTTTCCTCTTCTACAAACTTTAAATATGAGTCAAGAAGATGATAAATTATCTTTGCTTCAAATATCTTCACCCCCATCGAAGAAGCCATGTCCCTTATCTCCTTGTCCAATACCACATCAAAACAGAGAATCACAGCATATTCCTTATGCCTTTTTGCCATGGAAGATACAATGATCATATCCTTCTTCCTTACTGTTCCTATGCTTACCCCGGCAATTGGAACATTTGAGGTTTTCAGAAATGAAACTAAGGCTTCTAATGATCCAAGTGTGCTTGATACAACATGCACCCCTTCCTGATGAAGCTCCATAGATGAAAAAACAGACTCTAAGTCTGCCTCAAGAGTGTTTTTCACCTCATCTTCGTTGTTTTTCACTACAAGCACCCGGCTTCCTGCTATTGCCTTTTCAAGCCCCCCAGCCGCAATCTTGATCCCCAAACTAGCTTTTGCCTCTTTCACGATAATATATTGATTTTTCATTCTCAATTCCTTTAGAGGTTGAGGCATGAGTAAGGCCTTGATAGTTGTGATTATAGGCCCATTGAAACCACACACTCCGATCCTGTCACCCTCTTTTAGCACGCCATTACTTAGAATAGCATCTAGTGTCACCCCAAAACCCTCAGCGTTTTTTACTTCCAGGACAGTGCATTCAACTTCTCCTTTGATTTTCATCTTGGACCCCATATATTTCTCAGACAGTTCCAGTATCAAAGATATAAGATCAGGGATTCCCTCTCCTGACATTGCAGAGGTAGGAACCAAGGAAACAAATCTTTTTTGGTCCGTGTTCTCACAAAACAGCTTTGCATTCAGACCTATTTCCGCGAATGCCACAATTGTGTTGTTCACCCTTCTTTTAAAGTCATCAATGGTTGCTCTTGATTGTTTCTTAAGTGTGTTTTTAACGCCTCCAAATGAAGTAGATTTCCACCCGTAGAGCCTATCTATTTTGTTGAGAGCAACTACAAATGGCGTCCTGCGCCTTCTAAGAAGCTCTATGCTTTCCAGAGTTTGGGCTTCAAGCCCATGAACTATATCAACAACCAATATTGCAAGGTTACAAAGTGAAGATCCCCGCGTCCTCAGATTGGCAAAGGACTCATGCCCCGGTGTATCAATAACTAGAATCCCTGGAAGCTTGGAGTCCTTCTTTCCGCATTTCTTGAACAGTTCAGACACAGGAAAAAATGTTGCGCCAATCTGTTGTGTTATCCCTCCTGCCTCCTCTCCTTGTACATTCGACTCCCTGAGTTTGTCAAGAAGCTTGGTTTTACCCGTATCGACGTGTCCCAAAATACAACATATTGGGCTTTTAAACTCAAATATTGGCTCCCCACTCCCCGTCTTCTCTTTTTCTGCTTTCTCACTATGTCTCAAATTCTTCTCATTTCCATCTATTTTAATTTTATCCACAGACTTTTCCACTTCTTCTAGATCCTCTCCCTTCTTGTGTTTTTCTTTGTTCGCCTTGTTTACCGACCCAAGCAGAGTGTCTAGATAATCTTCATCTCTTCTGTTCTTCTTACCCATAGAGAATATTTATCTTCTTTTCTTTAAGAAATTATTTTCTCCACAGCAATCAGATACACCGTAATCTTCTTTCAAGCAAAGATATAGGAACCAATCGACTTCAATAGTTTCAAACAGAGACTCTGTATAAAACCTCTTGAAGGGGAAAAGAAAATGAATCAAGACATGATTGTCAAGATTATGCCTTTTCTTGCTAAAAGATCAATACTAGTGCTCCATTACATAACTAGGGATCCAAAATATCCTATTTACGTGATCAACGGATACAAGTCCAAGTTGAACATAACTCCCATAGGAAAGATTACTATGCTGATACAAAAGGCCATTGATATAGAAAGGAATGACCTGGCAATCGAATACTTATGCCATGTCTCTCCAGGGAGAATGACCAGGATATTGTTTAGGTTGACAGAGAACATGGAACCTGAAAAGATTCAGCACATGATTTCAGATTTAAAAAGGAATCATTTCTGCTTACTATGCAACTTTAACAACAGATGTGAAGAAGTTATAACCCATCTAGAAATCACTATAAAGAACATGAGATTGTATACATACTATTGCAAATGATAAATGTTTTAATAAATGCCTCAAACGATTGAAGTTGATGGAGCAAAAAATTACAAACAGCTTGGGCAGCTCTATGAAATGGAAATGACTATTCTCCAGGGTGCTTGAGCCTAACTTTGAAAGAGCTTGGAATCCTAACTATGGTGCCAATACTTTGGCTGTTGATTTCTGCTTGGGGATTATTCTGAGAATGCTTCTTTGCGCTCTCCATATCAACCGTGGCCTTCTTATTAAGAGCCTTCACATAGACTATCCTTTTGAGTGAATCTGAGTTTGCCCTTGGATACAGAGGTTCTTCCTCATGCCCCACAGATCTACCAAGCCGGTTTTCCTTTTTTGGAAGAGGAACTCTAATAAGATATTCTGTCTGTAAAAGTTTTCTTTTGAGAATGTCTATATTACTCAACCTTAGACTTGTATGCTTGTCTCCCACAAACTCCCTACCCAAGCGATTAATAGTTCTACGCAAATCATCAGGCAAAGTTTCTTCATAGACTTCAACCATAGTTTTGTGGTAGTCATCGTGCTCCAGCTCCATGTCCTCTATAAGATATATCAGACTAGCGATCTTCTCCTTAATGATAATGCTTCCCTGGTTAAGCCTTAACAATTCAAATATCTTTTTTCTCTTTCCTTTCAAAACCTTCTTGAAGCCAAATTTTGGAGACAACCCAAGGGTTATCATAATATCAAAAGCCATACATTTTATGGTAAACGTTTCCTTTGATAACATCTCGAGGACATCTCCGACTACCTCTTCGTCTTCATAAAATAATGCAAGCAAAACTTCAAGTGCTGCAACTCTGACGCTACAAAAGTTAGGATATTTCGAAAGCTGAATTAAAGCATTTTTCCTGAGGCTTGCCATTCCAAACAAAGAAAGACGTCCTAGGGCATATAGACAAGACTTACTTACCAAATTTCTATGAGACGGGAAAACCATATCCAAAATTCTGAACCTTTCGATTTCTGAAATCGAGAGTTGGAGATAATCGGGATTCTCCAAAGGTTCTGTCTTTGGTCCCTTTTTATACTCCCTCGAGGGCTTATTGCTTCTCATTTTCACCTCTGCATTGGCTAACGAACTGTATAACGACGGTGTATTTTCATGGTCCTCGTTTGGGCTGGATGTCCCGATGCTCTCTTTGTTACCTACATCGGAAATACCGTATCCCGGGGTACTGTGCTTAATGCCTTTCCTATTAACCCTTTCCCCCTTGAATAGCTCATTTATATCATCCCTTGTATTTTCCCTCCCATGAGAGAAATATCTTTCATCCTTGAGATCTGTGTACTTGTTGGAATAGAATTCAGAAAAGCTCATTGAAGAAAGGGGAAGGCTCAGACTTTCAATTACAGAAGATATGTACCATCCATCACTATAAGGGTTGAACGAATTATCGTTAAACTTGAGTATGTTGATGATAAATGCAGAAATGATGCTTGCAGACCCCACCTCTCTTCCTGAATAGCTTTTAAAAACAAATGGATCTGCATACGATAGAGCTTTTACAAGATGTTTTTGTATGAAGTATGGAATAAATGAAAAATCATTTGGCTTGACTATTGTAGATGTCTGCACACAATACTTCTTCACAAAATATTGAATGAGCCTTTGGAATCCATAATAGTTCCCTACTATTGTTCTAGAGAGAATGTATAAAATGTGAATCCTTATTTTGTAAAAGATATGGGTATTTTCAAGCATTCTTTCAAGTATCTCACAAACCTGAGTCGATGGCTTTATCGAGAGATTCTCCAAGGCCTCCATTTGTCCAATGATATTCTTGTCCAGAAGTTGCTCTATGAACATATAATCTGGCTGCTCCACAACTATTTTTGCCAAATGCTCTCCCTTTGTGTCCGCTCTTATCCACAGCAAAGGCATCACTTCTTCTTCCTCCTCAGACTTCTTCTTTTTCTTAGTTTTTGGATGGTAATAGAAGTGGTTTTCCCTATCCAACATAAATACATGTTCAAATATCCCTTCCATTTCATAACTACATATAGTCACAGGCCCAGAGATTACCTTGTTTCCATTCGAAAAGATGCTAGTTGGTATCTGATCAGAAGTGAAATCTACTCTGTTGCTTTTCTTATTTATTGTAAATCCAAGCCTTACCTTCACGACCCCAGGCCTAAATACATAAGTTTCGAAAAGAGATCGAAGGTCTTTTCCAGTAACATCTTTAACGAGCTTGACAAATTCGAAGCTATAATTCTCCTTGACATCTCCCTTTTTCTTTATGGTGTAGTTCAGGATTTTTTCCATAAAGGCTCTACTAAGATTTCCTTCTAAAAGATGAAAGAAGACTTTGGACTTTGTTCTGAAGAACTTTTCTCTCATTGAAAAGAAAGTCCTCCTGGTATCATATAATGCATATTCTGTAACATCTCTACCCAATATGTAATCTCTATCCCTCTTAAGTCCATATAGAAACTCATTATTCCCAAGAAAATGTCTAACACAATAGTCCTGAAAGTATCCCTTCATCCCCTCAGCAATCCAAAAGTCTGCTTTTTCCACTACAGAAAAGTAGAAGTAAAATATCTGGGAGCTTAGTATGTCGCATATTATCCTCTTTAGAAGAAACATTGGCTCGATGTCGTTCAAGAACGTAAGATTTGACAGGGCCAAAAAGGCCGTGCACTCTCCATACACCTTATCTGTATCTCCAAACACAAATGCAATTGAAAGAGCTTTGAACGGATATTCTCTCTGAAGGAAATATTCTGAGTATCTAATCAGGTTCTCTACGTCACAACAAAACTCTCTTACACAGTCCTTGTACCCATCAAATCCTTTTGGAATACATACAGCCTTTCTGTCGTCTCCAGTAGAGATTTCATAACTGTCGAATGTTCCTATGCAAAAGTTCAGTGCTCCACTATGAGCCATGTCCACAACATAAGAGTACAGTATCACGTTCTCTTCCTCCCTTACACTCTTAAGGATTCCAGGTGATATGATTTTCGTTTCATCATTACTGGGAAGAATGTAAACCAGCTCCCACTTGTTCTTATAAGGCACCGAGAGAGATGGAAATATTGACGAGGAATCGAACATTCTGTTGGTTGCCACTATCTCTTTATGCTTGTCTTCTGGCGAAACCGGCTTATAGAACTCTATGGAATTGTTATTTTCCCCTGCTCTATAAAGAATCCTTACTGTAAATGTATTTTCCTTGACTTCTTCTGGTATTTGGATTTCGAGTGTACCGTCCGTGCTTATGTTCTTCCACATGTTTCTAGTAAAAGACATTTCGTTCTCGTTGATGACTTCTGCTCCATCTTTGTTCACATAATCTGCAACCCTTGACTTACCAGAGGCTATTACATCGACTCTTAAAATGGCCAGGTCCCTTGATCTGTACACAAGAACGCTTTCCCCAGCTTCCCTCTCTATTACTGTCTCGGAAAACCCCCTGTATATGCGCTTTCCCAAGTCTACGAAGTATACATTCTTCTGTTGGATCACCTTCATTTTCAGGGCAAATTTTTGTTGAACAACTTGAAATAGCACTATTAAGAGACCCCCTTCTGTATATTTCAACGATGAAAAAGGTGAAAGTTGATTGTGGAAGTTCTGTCAATCCAAAAGTAGTGGGGCAGCTATGGAAGGTAATCGACAGAAAAGAGATTAATCTGCATCAAAAATGCTCTATTTTCCTTGAGATGATAGAATGCAAAAAGATGAATGAGGAGCTTACAAGAAAAAATAACGAGCTTATTGAAGAGAATGCAGCTTTAACATCCATTCTGGAAACACAAAAAGAGAATACAAACAATGCCGGGTGCTTAGATGAAGCACCCAAATTTGATGTTGGAAGCAAAATCTCTTCATTGAACTATGAAATAAGAAGGTTAAATAGTATAATTTGTGAAATGCAAAAGAAGATAGCCAGAAACGAAATCTTTGTTGAGACTGAGGAAGCTCTACAGACTAAGGATTCAGGAGAAAAGAAGCACAATGTTGTAGATGATTCTATGGTGGCCAACGAAATATATAGGAAAATTGCTGAAGAGTATGGGGATCTCAAGGCAAAGATGGCAGGGCTAGAGAGTAAGCACAGTGAAGAGCTTTGTGAAAGAGATCAAAAGATATTCAAGCTTAGCAGAGAGCTAAACGAGATTACATTGAATACAAAAGATGCCGAGGAGAGGCTTAGAGCCTTAAAGATAGAAAACGAAAAATGGAAAGAGATGTTGCAAAGGCTTAATGAAAAGGAAATAAACATTAGTGGCGAGATAGACCAGTGCATTCAGAAGGCGGAGAGCTTAGATAGAAGTATGCAAAATATTATATCTGGAGTGGATCTTTGGGTGAGAAGGATTGAGCAGACAAATACAGAAAAAGAAGAGCTTTACAAAGTGATAGAAAATCATAAAAGTTACGAGAAGGCAAGAAACAGAGGAAATAATGGTGAGCAAGGGTCTCTGGAAGAAGAGATAGCCAATCTTATAGAAAGCTTGGATAAGAGCTTAGACGAAAACAAAGCACTAGTTATGAAGCTTGAAGCTATACATAAGAAGAACAGAGAATTGGAAGGGGAGGTGATTTCCTTAAAAATGTCCACTTCAGACCTCAATTGTAAAAATGCAAAACTTGAGCTGGACATAAAACATCTAAGGATGGAGAGAAGGACCTCCCTTCTCGAAGATCCTGAGGACAAAACATTGAAAATCAAGAAGTTAGAAAATTCCATTACGGAATCCTCTAAGCTGATTACAGACTACAAGAAAAGACTATACAGCATATCCAGAGAAAAGGAGGAAACCGAAAAAATGTTAGAATCTATCAAAAAGCAAAATAGAGAAATAAGAAATGAAATGTCGAGGATTTCAAGAGAGTGTTCCCAAATTGACGCAGAAAACAAAAGGCTGAATGGATTGCTTAAGGCCATTCAAAATGGAGATTCAGAAGGAGATTCGGACCTTTCTATACAATTGGAAAGATATAGAGGTCTCCTTCGCTGTTCTCTTTGTGACACACGCTTCAAAAATACAGCAATCGTCAAATGCATGCATTGCTTCTGTGAGGAATGCATAAGCTCCAGGATAAGAATGAGAGACAGGAAGTGTCCCTCCTGTAACGAGCCCTTTTCACCTAATGACGTGAAGAAGATTTATCTATAGAGGTCTTAACGCTCCTTTTATGAATCCTTCTTTTGATATCCACATTTATGTATTCTTGACAGGAACATGTGACTGGTTCGAATATCGATGGCCTGTAGAAGTCAAAATAAACAGAATTATATTTCAAAGGATTCCATGGGCTAATTGTAACAAGCATTCCCCGCAGGTATACCTTATGCCAGAAGATACCTCAAGTTTATTCATCAATTTTATCCTACAGCTTTATACTTCAAAACACAATCAACGCCTAATCTCATTAATTGGCATAATTGAAGATTTTGTGGATCTTATATCATCCAATAGGATCTTAAGTCTTTTATACTCTTTTGTTTTTAGTACAATGTCTTCTTCGCCTATGGAAACAATAGCTCCTACAAACTCTTCTCTTTTTATTCGAGCTTTGATTTTATCTCCTTTGGTAAATACACAGCCCTTTATATTTAGCGCATTATTTTCAATAAAAACATCAAGATCTTTTTCACCTCCTAATATTCTCCTTAAATCCTTAGCTGTCTCATCTACTGCAGTATAAAGTATCTCATCCACATCTAGCGTCGTGGACCTCCTTCTTCTTTTAGTACTCTCCACCATGCTCTTCTGATCTTCTGCAGAAATAAAATCCAGCTCATTTTCCAACTCATACATCCTTTTTACAAAGTCCTTATATATCTCTGCACTTCTTTTCTTCTCCTCCACTCTCTTTCTAAGACTATCCTTTAGGCCTTCTACATGTCCTGATGGAAAAGATAAACCCATTTCCCTTTTGATTAGATCAAGGGGTTTGCTTTAAATTAAAAATAGGTATTGAGTAGAGCTCTGGGCTTGTCTCTTAAAACCAAAGGTTGAATAAAGTATTTACTTTCCATCGAGAATTTCCTCTAATTCTTCTTTGGGCTTATAGCAGTGATCTCTAAAGAAGGAAGTCATCCTATCGAAAAAATTTTGGAAATCAAACTTGATTTTGCTTTGAACAAACCTCTCATAATAGTAGAGATTGAGCAACAATTGGTTTCCCCCTGTTCCAAATCTGCGGTTTTCAGATATAAATATTCTGCAGAACTCCTTGAGCAATTTCTCGTTGTAGATAGAAAACATCCTCTTCCCAAACTCTCCATCCAGATTAAACGTCTCCTCAGCATCTTTTATTATCTTCTTAATCCATTTCTCAGGCCTTCCAATAACCTTGGAGTCACTTGTGTAGTCGTCCTCTACTAAATCGAGTATCAAAGCTCTTATTTGAAGTATTTTATGTTCTAGAACATCATTCATTATGGCGTTAACCTCATCTCCCCCATCTATAGCATACAAGTCACCCAGAAGATTAAGCTTAGACCTCTTGACTTCTTTATCATCAAGAAGAACGTTCTTTGATACCCGAATATAATGCTTAATGAGTGCTTCCTTGTCTTCGCCCTCAAATTCATCCATTATCTTTCGCACCTTTTCTAAGTAAATACTCATTTTGTTTGGGACTACAAATCGCCCATCTTATTCCTCTTCCTGGCTATAGGGCCAATTTACCTCTAAACTCTGAAAATCCCCATCTCAGGCCCTATCTTTGAATGAAAACAATATTTAAAGAAGCCTTAGAACTTAATGTAGATACATTGAGTATTAAAAATAAAAATGTTCCCACCCCCAATGTCATGTAAGTGAAGTTAAACATTAGAGCTAATTTTAGTCAACCTTCTGCACGTTGTTAAGCCTTTGGTGCCTTACATCCCCGATGTTCAGTCTCCATCTAGGACAATTACTTTCCACGAAAGATTTATCTGGACAACACTTGCAATCTTGATATATTTGGTCTCATCCCAGGTCCCTTTGTTTGGAATAATCTCGAATGATGCAGCAGATCCTTTGCAATGGATGAGAGCAATGATGGCATCCAACAGAGGAACACTTATGGACCTTGGAACAAGCCCTGTGGTCACATCTAGCCTTATAATGCAATTCCTAACCATGTCTGAGATATTGAAGGTTGATTGGTCCATTAAAGAGGATAAGAATCTACACAATGCAACACAGAGGCTTATATCACTTATAATGACAGTTGGGCAAGCGTTCGTGCAAGTGTACACAGGATTCTACGGCAGTCCAAAGAGCCTTGGAACGATCTATTGCCTCCTCCTTGTTATGCAGCTAATCTTTTCAGGTGTCATAATAATACTCTTGGATGAGCTACTTCAGAAGGGATATGGCCTTGGAAATGGAGTCAATCTGTTTATTGCAACAAATGTCTGCGAAAGTATTGTTTGGAAAGCTTTCAGCCCAAAGGTGCTTTTCACTGGACGGGGTATAGAATTCGAAGGGTCGGTGATTGCATTATTCCATCTTCTAGTTGTAAGAAAAAACAAATTTGCAGCAATATACGAAGCTTTCTTCAGGCAAAATCTTCCAAACTTATTTTCACTACTTTCGACTGTTCTTCTGTTTACACTTGTAATATACCTTCAGGGCATAAGAGTTGAGCTTCCAACTGAGTCTTCACAAGTTAGGGGGCATGTGGCCAAATTCCCTATAAAGCTGCTTTATACATCTACTATGCCCATCATCGCTCAGAACTACATAGTCGGACATATTTCATCCATTTCTTCATTCCTCTACAGGAGATGGCCTCAGAATCTAGTTGTCAAAATCCTTGGGGTCTGGAATACATCAAAGGGGGGAAGATACATGCCTGTAAGTGGAATCAGTTATTATATCACATCTCCAGAATCCATTCTTGAGGGCTTAAGAGATCCTCTGCGATTTTTTGCCTATCTCTCTATCATGCTTTTAACATCAGCCATTCTTAGCACGTCATGGCTTGAACTGAATGAGCTATCTCCAGAAAAGGCTGCACAGAAACTCAAGGAGTCAAGGATGAGATTGAAAGGAGTAAGAGAGGCGAGCACGGCCACCGTTCTTTCTAGATATATCCCGACTGCAGCATTTCTTGGTGGAATTCTTACTTCCATGGTTGTGATACTGTCCAATCTTTTTGATGCCATTGGAAGCGGTACAAACATTTTCCTGGCCACCTCGATTGTAAATCAGTACTTGGATATGTTTGCCAAAGAAACAACCCAGAAAAACAGTGAAATAGGTTTTATCGAGTAAAATTATTTTCGTGGCCAGAGAGCTCCTTTTTTGTGATAATAAAAATTTACCTTTAATTCGCAGGATGATAGCAATGGGACTAGAAGGAAGTGCTAACAAACTAGGCATAGGCATAATGAAAGATAATACAATACTAGCAAATGAAAGATTCACATATGCACCTCCTCCAGGCGAAGGGTTTATCCCTGCAAAAACTGCCGAGCACCATCGCTCCAAGATCCTGGATCTTATAGCCATATCATTGGAGAAGGCTGCAATATGCCTTAGCGATGTTGATGTATTCTGTTATACAAAGGGGCCAGGGATGGGCTTGCCCTTAGCCGTAGTTGCTACTGTTGCTCGTACATTGAGTCTGTATTGCAACAAACCGCTCATTCCTGTAAACCACTGTATAGCTCACATAGAAATGGGAAGGTTCATGACTAAAGCAGAAAACCCTGTCGTTTTATATGCTAGTGGGGGAAATACCCAGATCATAGCATATCACAATAAAAGATATAGGATATTTGGAGAAACATTGGACATAGCTGTTGGGAATTGTATAGATAGATTCGCTAGGGCACTCAGGTTGCCAAACTTTCCTGCGCCAGGACTCAGTGTAGAGAGATATGCAAAGCTTGGAAAAAATTATATCGAGCTTCCTTATGTCGTGAAGGGAATGGATGTTTCTTTCTCTGGAATTCTATCGAATATAAAAAGCAAGATTGTAGAGAATGATCAGATGAAGTATGATCTATGCTACTCTCTGCAGGAAACAATCTTTTCGGCATTGGTTGAAGTCACTGAAAGAGCAATGGCTTTCAGCAATTCCAAAGAGGTTTTGATTGTTGGCGGTGTTGGTTGCAATCTAAGGCTTCAAGAGATGATGAGTATAATGGCAAAAGAGCGTGGAGGAATATCTTATGGAATGGACGAGAGGTTTTGCATAGATAATGGGCTAATGATTGCATATGCAGGGATGCTTATGGCTAAAAGTGGGTCTTCTTTTAACCTGGATGAATGCTTTGTTACGCAGAGATATAGAACAGATTCGGTAGAAGTGGCTTGGAGAGATGACTAGAGCAAAATAAACCATAACATAATAATAATTTTACAACCTATGCCTTCTAATCTTTTTAGGGAGCTCGGAGAATTCTTCATGATCCTCTGAAGATCCATCCCATTTCTCAAACCTATCATAAAGGTCTTCGTCCAAACCAAGACTGCATCTAGTCGTGAATCCTGACTTCAGCCCTAACATGCTAGAAAAGCTATGTTCAAGCTCATTCCTTTCCCCTCCTTTTGTTTCGCTAGTGATGTCACTATGGACAAGATGCTTTCTACCACTAAGAATTGCACTTCTATCCCTATAGTAGTTCCCTGCCTCCTCAAGAATTACTTGCGGATTTATATCCGAGCAACAATATATATACTCTGTCTTTGTGCTGAGATGTCTATAAAATAAAACATACTGACTAGTGCAATCCCTGAGCATACTTGAAGGATGAATCTTACATACTCGAAAGTTGCTTAGACAAATATATTTTTTGTCCTTTTTCCTTGCTATATTGTAATATATTGAAGATACTATACATCTTTGAATTCTACTTGGAGATCTCGAGTTGGATATTTTTACGCCTTTTCCTTGAAGAGTCATTAGTATTGTCTTTTTGGTTTCCATTGCTTTTTTCAACGCCTCCTCATTAATCTTCATTCGACTGCACCATTCATTTCTATTCTTCTGCATCATAAACTCATTGAAGATATTCAGGAGAGTCATGAAATCACAGGCCTGATCGCATAGAGGCGACGACTTGTCAAATCCCTCAAAAAAAACATTGTAAACGCTAAGCATACTGACTATAGTTGCTATTTCATCAACAACTCCATACCTTGGGGAATTCAAAACCATTCTTGCTAGCGGTGGTTCTAGCCTTAGCTCGCTCATTTCTTTTCCATCCTTGGTTAGGAGGCCCTTGCGGCATACAGCTCCTAAGCGATAGAGAAGAAGTAGAGCATCTTGAATCAGCTCGGGGGAGGGACTATCAATAAAATCAAACTCAAATATGTCTCCTACACCATGCCTTAAGAGAAGAAGGACAACTTCGTGTATGTTAGTTCTTTGGATTTCCGGAACGGGTGATGGGAGTAGATCATTCTCATAGGTGCTTGATGTGTACATCCGATAGCATACACCCGGCCTTGTTCTTCCGGCACGGCCTGCCCTTTGGTCTGCATTTGCCCTACTCACTGGAACAGTCACCAAAGACTCTCCTGTATCATAATTGTAGACACTTATCTTCTGGAGCCCGGTGTCTATAACATACCCAATGTTTGGGATGGTCAAAGATGTTTCTGCTATGTTTGTAGAAACAATGCATTTCCTTATATTCCTCTCTACCTTGAACACCTTGCTCTGCATTTCCTCAGAAAGCTGGCTGTAAAACGGAAAAGCCTTAAGATCTGCATCTTCATCTTCCCCTTTTCCTTCACTGAGGCATTTGTTTCTAGCCCAATAATTCACTATTCCCACAACTCCCTCCACATCGTTTCTTCCTGTCATGAAGACTAGAATGTCTCCTTCTTCACAGCTTTCATGGATATGAAGGATCTTCTTAACTGTCCATTCAACATAGTCGTCAACATTCATGCTTAAATATTGGATATCCACTGGATATGTTCTGCCTTCAATGTTGAAAGTCGAACATCCAAAATAATCACAGAACTTCTGAGCTTCTATTGTAGCGCTCATTACTATAAGCTTCAGATCATCCCTTTTCTTCAAAGCTGACTTTAGTAATCCCATTGTGATGTCTAGATTTGCACTCCTCTCATGTGCCTCATCTAGTATCACTACAGAATACTTTCTAAGTAGGCTATCTCCCAGTAATTCCTGAAGAAAAATCCCCTCTGTCATGTATCTTATTTTTGTCTTCTGAGTCGTTGTATTATCAAATCTTATGGAATATCCTACCACAGATCCCATATCTCTTTCTAAAGTAGAAGCCAAACTAGTCACTGCCGCTCTTCTAGGTTGTGTACACCCTATGATCCCTTTATCTCCATACCCTTCCAGATATAGATATCTCGGCACCTGTGTACTCTTTCCGGATCCCGCCTCTCCTACTAAAACTGTTACTTGGTGCTTTCTTATAAACTCCATTAGGCCATGTTTGAAGCCCTCAATTGGAAGCTTCCTCAGCACTCTTTTGCCAATTCCTCCCTTTATAGATGGTATCGTACAGCTACGGGGTTGCTCGTTTAGGAATATGCTTCCCTTCTTGGCTATCGCACTTATTTCCGTGCCTGGTTTCTCTACCTCCACTTTGTTCTGAAAAGTAGAATCGGCCATTTTGTTTCCTGGAAACTCATTCAAATCCTCGTTATACACCAAATCTGGAACCAAGCTAGTCTCTTCATCAGAATACGTTTCCTCCACACTTAGCCCAGCCGCCTTCATCTTCCGAAGCTCCCACCTCCTAATATCTCTAGACTTGTTGTATCTCATAAGCTTGGGTATGAAAATCGTAATCCAAAAAGGTCATGCATGTTTAATATCTCTCAACCATTCGGAAGCAAATAGAATGCTTCAATCTTCATTCTTTTTTACTTAAAACTCCAGGAATACTCTTATTCCCAGCGCTTTTTCTATTTGCATACATAGATGTAACATTCATGTCTAACCCACCTTTGGTTGGAATCCCCATTCCCATCTTCGGCTTTGGTATTTCTCTAGGCTTTAGCACCGGACTATCTCCTTTCTTACTTTCATTGGAAGTTCCTCCCACCCACTTCTTCTCCACAGGGTCATATCGGAAGTCGTCATCAATATCAATCTTTGCTTTATGAACAGGTTCCTTCTTAAACACATTCAAGAACCCAAAGAATGACCCACTTTTTTTCTGTTCCTTTTTCTTTGTTCCCGGATCGGAAGGTTCATCGTCAATAAACCTAGAAAGAAATAAGCTTGTATCGTCTTCGCTTCTAACTTCCTCTTCTCTTTTATTGCCTTCGAAGAAGTCTGCAAAGCTCTTTGATTGCTTTGTATCCATGTATAAATTATTCCGCTCTTTAATGTCACAAGGCATGCTGTTAACAGATAGTTCCTCATCCTTCGCTTTTGTTTCTCCTTCATCATGTTTCAATAGGATTTCCTCTTGAGGCAGGCTGTATATACCATTCTTTTTAATCTCACTAACCTTCAATATCTGCTCGTATTCACCTGCCGATGGCTTACCACTCTCTTCTACTTTTAATACTTCATTTACTGCTTCTCTCTTTTCAAACTTAGCATCTATTCCAATCACTTTACTATCTGAGATAGATAGCATTGCATCGCTTTTACTGCTCAAGCTAGGAATCCTAGACCCAAGATCACATCTGGAGGCAAGTTCCTGGCTAGTGGCCTCTAAGGACACGTCCGAAGAGACAGGAGCCTCAATCTTCTTAGGATCATCCTCAAGACTATCCACATTAAGAATCTTTTTGATTCCAAAGTCAAAGACACTCTTAAGACCAAAAGACCATCTAGTCTCAAACACAGAGTCAAGATCTCCCCCAAGCTCCTTTCTAAAGCACTTTCTATTTGCTTTGAAGTACTCCTCCGCCTTCGTTCTGTCAAACTCTATTCCAGTTGAAACAAACTCATACTTAAGAATGTCAATGTCTTTTACACTTCTACCAGTATACTCGACATAACAAAGGATATTGAGTACCTCAAAATTCTTGCTAAACATCCATAGGTACTTATTGATATCAATAACCCCAAGGAAGTACGACGCCAATACCACAAACAACGCATCAGGAACGCTAACACCAAAGACCTGCATTATAAAGTCATTATTAACATCCGCATTCCTGGTGCTTAAAACTTCTCTAATGTATTTTTTCCAATCTCCATGAAACTTAAAAGGACACCTTGAAAACCCAAGTGCAGAGGATATCAACTGAGCGTAGGGGCTGTCACAGTACTTCTCCAAGAACCTATTTCCAATGTCTTTTGTCCATTTCGATAGCAGAATCCCAGCCTCCCATATCTCATTTTCAATTGCATATTCAAGAGCCTTGTCCGGATCCTCCATGCATAACCCTATAAGCTTATTCATATTCTCTGCACTAACAGACCTATTAATATCCCTACTGCAATAAGCCGGCCTTGAAGTAGAAACAATGCTAGTAATACTGTCTATAGACGGTGTTTTCAATTGGATCAGTTCATAAACATGCTGATATCTATCATCCCTGTTATTTCGACTTGCGATAAAATTAGAAGGCTTAATGTCTGGAAGAACGTAATCAAGCCTGTACCACTGAGAAATATTTATGTAATTCTGAATTGCCTCTCCTTGCATATTGAATCTTTTTTGAGAAGACATAAAAACAGTAAGTAGGCTTCCACATACAAATCGTGCTAAGGGCTTAGGTTTCATGGGATCCATCTTGGAGTTCAGGGGTTTTAATGGAGGCTTAGTAACTGAGTCCTCAGAATCAGGCTTTTCATGCTCCATGCTATCTTCTTGCTCTTCCTCATCTTTTTTAACGTGCTCCTCTGCTACATAAGATGCATGTTTCAATGAATCTGTTGTGCTTTTGAAATCATCTTCATCGTTAGAAGGTCCCTTCTCTATGTTCATATTGGTCACTTCCCCTACTATAAACTCTTCGTCATCATCATCATCCCAAAGAAAATCCATTTCATCCACAGAAGACACTTTTGGCCCTGCCTCGCTTAAGATCCCAGAAGTAGTGTTTACTTCTGATTTCAACCCCGTGCCTTTATCATGGGTATTTTCTACCTCATCATTACCTTTATCATCCTCAGGCTCTTCCTCTCCAAGAGACTTATCTTTCTCTTCTTCCCTATAGGCTTGAACCTCTTCTATGTTCTCATCCTTTCTCTTATCCCTGCCACTTTCCTGAAAATCATTCATTCTTTCACAAACAACTTCTTCAGAATTCTCCTCCGGTGCATCCTTCTTGCTTTCATCAGAGCCTTCGACCTTTTGGATTCCATCCTTAATTTCAGGTCTCGGACACTCAACATTCCTCTTGGGCTTGAAAAGCAGACCTATCTCAGACTCATACTCACTATCACTCTCGCTTAAGATCTTCCAAAAGTCGTCGTCGTCCTTACCAGACCCATTGTTTTTCATGGACTAAAATTTGGCCCCATTTTTAAAGATCCTTCAGACCTCAAATAAGTCACTTAGTTACCAAAACAAACCTTTAATTCTAGTATCTAAACAAGTTGTTAGTGACATAATTTAAAGCCCACCTCACTAGCAGCACCTTCTTCCCTTTACAAATCTTATGTTTTCAGGCCTAACAGTACTTTCATCCTCCATGGGGTTTTCCAAGTCCTCTTCAATAAGCCTATCAACAGCCCTGACAAGGTCCTCAATCCCTTCATGCTTCATAGCACACGTCTCAACATACTCACCCCCGTGTTTCTTGGCCTTTCTGGTTCCCACCTCTTTATACCACCCCCGTGTTTCTTCATCGGCAAGATCTCTCTTGTTTCCCACCACTAGGATCCTGGCCTTACTCCCAAGGCTTTCACTAGTCTTGGAAAGCGTATTAATCCAATGATCTATCCTTTCAAATGAGGACTTGTCCTTCATATCAAAGACGATGATTGCTAAGAAGGAGTTCCTTGTATAGTTCGGTATAATCGAATTGAATCTTTCTTGGCCTGCAGTATCCCATAACTGAAGACGAACCCTATGGCCGCTAACAACAATAGTTGTACTAACGAAATCTAATCCAATCGTGGGCCCATACGACCTCTGCACCTCCTGATGTAAATACTGGGACATTAAGGTGGTCTTTCCAACGTTAGAGCTCCCTAGAAACACTATTTTGTAGGTCGACCTCATTTGAATCCCTGCCCTTTTTGTTTATTTTTATACATCCACACAAATACAGAAGGCCCTATGCTTTGTTTTGGAAATTCGTTAGATGTTTAGGATGAGGTACTTCATATTTTCGTTTGTTAACCTGTGCCGCAAGATCTATCCCCAACCCCGCCAATGTTTCTGAAGAAACTTCTTGCCATGGCAACGAAGAATGAAACACTGGTACACACTACAAGCACATATACAATGTACGACACCACCTTCGAAAATAAAAATGCTACAAAGCTTGTCTTTACACAAACGCTGGAAGCCTATTCGTTTTTGAAGAAGATAAAGCATGATACAATAATCGGTATTTATAAGCTGAATGTAGAAAAGAAATACCTGGTGACAAGAAGATTATTTCCCTTTTACTCTGTGTTCAAGAAAGAAGCCAAGGAATTCAACAAATACATATCTCTCAAAATAGCACAGGCGATAATGTTCCTCCATGACCAATGCAATATAGTCCACAGAAACGTTGTGGCAGACTCTCTATTCTTCAATGAGGAAGGAGGGATAGTCCTTGGAGGATTTGAGAAGAGTAGAAAAAGCAACACATTTGATGAAGACGGCATAATGTTCAGTAATCTTGTGAGTGAATTGGTAGGGACCAATACGAATCTTCTAGACTTTGTCAAAAACGGGGGATTCTGCTCCGACATATTCTTTGACCTGGAAATAGCATTCTTTGGCTACAAATCTTTTACCACCGAGCAGAAACTGGACTTCGTTTCCAAAATGAGAAGGGAGAAGAATGAGTTTGTGGATATTCACAAAAGGAGAATATCTTGGATGGTTCTTGGAGATATAAGTTCGGATGCTCCAAAGGACTTTAAGATACTGGCTGTTGACTTCATCCTGTGTTTCGATGTCCCTGACATGGAGGAGTTTTTGCCTCCCTTGTTTTCGATACTAGATACAGGTATAAGGTTCTATCTCCTCAGAAACTCTGAAAAATACATAGGCAAGGTTTCCTCCCTGGATCCTGTAATAAAAAGCCTATCGCTTGGCATTAAATGTAAAGACAAGCAACTTAGAGAAGAAACAATTGTGTTTATTAAAGAGAACATACCTATGATATCCCAGAGGCAACAATCTGAGATATTGGAGACTATGTACGGATATGTATCGGACGAACAAGGAATACAGTCCGTTCTTAGATTTCTCCATGATGTAAAACCTGTCTTCAAGAAGTCAGATGTTGTCTATAGAATCCTCTGTAAATACTTGATTCAATCCAAATCAAAGGTGCAGGTCCTTTGTACAATGGAGATCTTTTATGAAACTTTTGACAACTTTAAGATGACCACGGAGCTTTTGCCTCTTCTTTGTGGGTATCTATCTAATAGGCATGCCCAACCTGCAGTGTTTTCACTCATAGAAAAGATCCTTGTCCATCTCAAGGAGCATAAGACAGAGATAATAGACAAAGAGTGGAGAATCGGTAGCATTAAGAACATTTTCAAGCCAAAGTCTTCTCTGCAACAGGAGGTTATATATGGCGAAAAGGGAGAAGCACAGCCAGCCAAGATACAAAGTGAATCGGACAAGGAGTGTAAAGAGCATAAGGATCCAAATGATGAATGGGATGATCCATGGTGATAGAAAACCCTAATCCCACAAGAGAATAAATATACAAGTTGAATTTATTGTGTACAAACCCAAGCCAGACGCCTGGTGGTAGTGTGTTTTCCTTGGTTTACAATCTGATAGTTCTAACCCTCTTCGTCGTGCATCCTAGCATACTTTGAAAGGCAAATGAGAGGCATCTTGCCTTCTTCACTATTCCATCCCTGCTCGAGTATTCTTTTCTGCTCATCATTGTATCCAAAGTGATTAAATAGCTCGCTTACAAAAGGCATGTTAGACTTTATGAGTCTTTGCGGATAGGTCTTCAAGGGGCCCAGGAATAGTGTTGCTATTCTGTCTTCATGTCTAACATAATGTTTAACACATAATTTGTAAGCAATTGGAAACCTTTCTGAGTCAAATGTCTGCGTGCTTTTGTGAAGATAATAATGTTCAAAGAGAGGCCCTCCGCAGAATGAACACTCTTGTACAGACAGGAGATATCCTATGAGTGACCTATGTATATTCCTTCGGACTCTCAGATTGTTTCTTACCAAATGCCTGGAGCAGGTTTCCTTGAGCGTGATGTCTCCGATGCATTCAATCGAGTCCTTAGAAGTAAAGTCACAGGATGAGGCCGTTAGCTCTATCAGAAAAGGAAGCTTCAGAATTTCCAGAGGGATGTTTTGAATCTTGTTATTGGAGATATTTAAGTATTTCAGCCCATAAAGCCTTCCTATCACTGGAGGAAGAACAGTAAATAAATTATCGTCTATATGGAGTGCGTTGAGGGCTTTCAGTGCTGAGATTCCTCTTGGAAGGGTGACCAGCAAGTTCTGAGACAGATTGAGCTCTCTAAGGTTCTTAAGCTGCCCGATTTCATCAGGTAGCTTTTGGATTCTGTTTTTTGAAAGTACCAAGACCTTAAGATTTGTTAAACATCCTATTTGCTGCGGAAGTCTTGTTAGATAATTACAGCATGCCTGTAAAACCTTCAAGTCCTGGATTTCTCCTATGCCTTCCGTTATCTCCACAACAAACTGTCTGCACATATACACCTGATTTTTGTCTTCTTTTAGGTTGTGGCGTATTACAGTCATTCTCTCCCCGCTAGCTAATATTTCCCGGGCAGTTTCCTCCCTGTTAACAACATTATGGTATATGTCTGCTTCCTTTCCCGTTATCTCTTCTGGCCTGGGAGACAGAGGAAGGTGCTTTAAAGCCAGTTTTTCAAAGCTGGCAAGTGAGCTTGCTAGATGAACACTTGGATAAGTCTCCAAAGACTTCGACACTTTATATGGGAACACATGGTCCTCAAGGTTGTATAGCCTTAGAACCCCAGGGGCGCTTGGATTTGATTTAGCAATGATCGGGTCCTTTCTTATATTACTAGCTGCATTCCCCATGCCTTCCGTTACTCCTTCTGAATTTAACGTTGTATTGTTTGATATCCTTGACACAATAAGTTTCTAGTTCTCAAATGTGACTTGCAACCTAGAAACAAGTTTCACCATCTCCATATTCAGGATGCAACAAGACTCATTTGCCTAGGATACGGAGTGCAGACATTGTTATCTCAACGGAGAAAAGAAAATACATTTATTTGTTAATTTGAAACAATCGTTGATATAGAAAAAATAAAAAGAGATTGAAACACTGCAAATAATGACAGAGGTTACTAGTGCCGATTATTCCAAGCAAGGATACCATGAAATACCAAAGATGGCGTATACCACACCCATCAATTGGCTTATACTCTCAGATAACAAAATAAGGGAAGTACCTGAAAGCATAAAGGAGCTCAAAACTCTCAGCAGGCTTGCATTAAATGATAACAGAATCGAAGAAATACACCCCGGCATAGGCTCCCTTGTGGGTCTCACCTGGATAGATCTGACTAGAAATCGACTTAGAGCATTACCTGACGAAATGGAAAATCTAAAGAGGGTCTCGGGGCTTGGCCTAAGCGAAAACAACTTCTCTGAAATCCCAAAGTGTATATTCAAGATGACAAACCTTCGGAAGTTCGGGTTTTTCTCAAACAAGATCAGAGCCATTCCAAAGGACATCAAGTTTCTTATAAACTTGATCAAAATAGATTTATCTAACAATGAGATTTCCTCACTTCCAGATGAGTTCTGCGAGTTAAGGAATCTAAATTGGCTGAACTTGTCCAACAATAAGTTACAAAAGCTTCCGGACGGGATCAACAATTTGGTGCGATTGGAGGAGCTTGGGCTTGGAGCAAACAACCTTACAGAGCTACCGGACATGAGCAACCTGAAGAAACTGAGAATACTTCCAGTCTTCAAGAACCAGCTCACACAAGTCAATCAAAGTATAGCTTGCCTCAATAGTATTGAGAAGCTCGACTTCAGTGATAACAACATCACAGAGTTTCCTGGGCATGTAATAGGTATTCAAACTCTAAGATACTTGAATCTGAAGTCAAACAAGATCTCGAAGATAGACCCAAGCACGTTCAAGAACCGAGTATCATCTGTCTCAATAATAGACGTGAGCGACAACCTTCTTAGTTGCATCCCTCTAAAGTTTTTCAAGACATTCTCAAATGTAACTGTAATAAGAGTAGGAGAAAATCCATTTGTCTACCATGAGAGTAGGCCTGCTCCCAGCCCAGGCTTGACAGAGTTATGCTACAACAAATGTCTGAATATGCAGTATAAATGTGAAGGATGGATTAGAAAACGATATCCTGATGTAAAAAACTGCGATGCTTGTAACAGACTGTTTACTACACAGCCACATCTAGGATATAGCCTTAGCTCTGTTGGAGATGGAAGTACCTTTGTTATTGAAAAGATGCTATGTTCTTATGATTGTTACAGAAATGAATATAAATAAAGATTTAATGCACTCTTACACTGGCCATATTGCCCGTCCTGAAGAAATCATGCCCAATACATCCTCAGAAATCGGATAGAATTCATGCAGATTGAACTTTTCATCAACCATCTCTCCCACCCGAGTGCTAAGGACCACCTCACATATAAAAAACAACGTCTTGTCATTCTTTTTGATTACCACTTTTCCCTCGTCTATCCTGTGAGGTTCCTTATTCAACGACATGGTCTTAAGCTTGGAGCATACTGTATAGAATTTGTTGAATGTACTCTGATCGACTTTCATTGAATATGTCTCATAGATCTGCTTGATTTTATGCTCATTACTGGAGCTTGCACATATAAGGCAAATAGAGGAGATAAAGAAGCCTATGTTCTTTATGTTCACCTGCCCAGTGTTGAGAAAGTATATCAGGGATCCAACAAGTGTTTTGCTTCTAACAATCTTTTCCTTCAAGTCCTCATCTAGATTGATCTCCATAAAGTATTCAACAAATTCCTGAAGCAATCTTTTATCGTTGTATGCTAACTGGACTTCAACATATTCTTCGCTGCTACCTCTATACTCCAGAAGTAAGGGAAGAAGCACATCTACCGGTATTTTCATGTGAGACAAGAAATACAGCACTGGAAATGTGGTCTCAAAGCTTAGTATCTGACTGACAAAGCACGAAGAGTGCTTTGAATGAGCATAGATTAGAAGCTCTGCAGTTGACCTTGGACAGAGGGTGGGCTTCTTCTCAGTAAGATAGGGCCTCACCGCGCTTACTATCATCAATATTTCCTTAATATTGCTACTGGCTAATGCTCTATTTATCAGCAGATCTGCATACTCGTCCAGGTCATCTCTTCCAAGAAGATACACTAAAGCAGATGGAATATCTGTTTCTATAAGCTCAAAAGTTCTTTCCTTAGGAAGTTTCCCCAAGAAAAAGTATTTGAGGTAGAACCACCTTCTTTCTCTGCATTCAGGAAGTTTTGCATTTTCCTTTTTAATTCTCTCAGAGCTTAGCTCCAGAAAAGTGGCTGTCCCCTTCAAGGATTTTATATGGAAATAGAACTCCCACGGCAGGTTACATTCATTCAGTAGGTCAATGTATTCCTTTCTCTGATTAGTAAAAACGCCTTTAAGGGCAAACTTAATGAACTTTAAGAGACATTCCACCTCACGACTTGTCCTTTTAGAGTTGTTCTCCTTGTTTTCCTTTGAACTTTCTGCAATCCCGATCAAAGAATCCTTGTAAGTCAGCATCCCAGACCTGAATATGTTGAAAACAACGGTTCTGACCCTATGACTTGTATCAAGAATCCTTTCATAGACGTCCAGTGAATGCTCGACAATGTCTTCAAAGGTAATCCTTTCTAATAATGTTATACGAACATTCTCGTCATAGTCGTTAGCAATTCTATGAAATATTTCATCATGTCTTGGCCTGCAGTTCTCGGCTAGTATCTTAATTATTCTCTTGTCTCTGTCTCCAATATAAAAATGGCAAAGCTTCTCAAAGTTCTTTTCAGACATTGCTGCAGTCAAGTACTTCAGTTTGCCTTGCCCTCTGATGTTTCTTACACATAGATGCTCTTTTAAAGAGAAGCTTGAATACACATCTGCATACACTTTGTCCTCGAAACTTTCCATTATTATAGTAACTGCAGGCATTGATATCTCTTTTGTAACTTCAATTATGCTGTTGGATGCAGGATCTTTAGGTATATGGAGGAGCACAGTCCTGACCACTTCTCTCACAATATCTTCGGCTCCCTCCTCTATCAATATAATAATAATCTCTTTCAGATACTTCTTTGCAGTCCCATTAACTACCTCTATCAGTCCGGCCAGTTTGGAGATCAAGATCTTGTCCGTTAGAAGACTAGGGATTCTATATGTAATAAACGTTTCCAGATTTATCTTTTCCTTTGGAAGAATATCTATGAGCAACCTGAAGAATCTATGCTTTTCTTCTCTACTTAGGAAGCATTTGGGAGCATTTATCCTTAGCACTTCAATGATACCGAGTAATGTGCTCGGAATTTCTCTCTGAAGCTCTATATTCCTCAACAGATATGCCAAGACATCTTCCTCAATGCAAGACCCTTGCGGGGTTTCCTTTAGTTTTAAATACACTTCAAATGCTTTGCTTTGTACTTCCACCTTTTTTGTTCTCTTTAGACTCTTCATCGGGGGCTGATGCAGCCATTCAAATCATTTATTACGCTACCTAACCCCAATCCAGGTAGATGGCAAACCTCGAAGACTTGAAAAGGCTCTACGACACATTCTCCTCTTCGGGTGCTTCCATATATCTCAGAGAGAAAGAAATAGTTGAGATAAGGTCATTTTTACATTCTAGGAAACCTATTCTTCACATTTGCGGAAGTCCAGGAACCGGGAAGACACATGTTACCACTCATGCCATAGAAGGGCCCTTTCTTTATGTAAACTATTATAACGAGAATGATATTCTTACAAAAATAAGGAACAGCAGTGCTCCTTTAGTGATTATTGATGAGTTTGATAAGTACTATAATGAAAAAAGAAATGAATGTCTACAGGCCATGTATCATTTAAAGGATAGGCAGAAGCTTATAACAATTTCCAATGATCTTCGGATGTCTGGTGATGTTCTGTTTTTCAAACCATATACTTCATCTGACATGGAGAAGATTCTGACTTATAAAATCTCAAAGGAGACTACATCGCGTGTTTTGAGTCCTGTAGCTATAAAGATCATATCAAAGAGGATAGGACCTTCCGGAGATCTAAGACAGCTGTTCAGATACGTCCAAGAGATTGTGGGGAGGAAAATAATAGAAGGGGGATCCGCGGAAATAGGCCCAAAGGATGTATCTCCTGAAAAAGAAAACAGAGAAGAGGGCCCGAACAATATACATCACAGTATCATTAGCTCGATTATTGTCAAGAATAAGAGGGCCTCAAGAATGGAAGTGTACTCAAAATATCTCAGAGAATGCCAGGAGATGAGAATTCCTTTCTATGACAGAACAGACTTTAATATTATATATGACATATACGCTTGATAGCATCCAATGCCTTCTAGATTTAAATGACCATGAGATCCTCAATACAATGATAATCATATGGAACTGGCCAGTGTTCCGTAGAGTATGTCTTGACAAAAGTGATTCCATCTCCAAAAGGCCCCATCAGAAAAAGGGTATAGGGGGGGCCTAATGTGTCTATGAGGTTGTTTATAACCCCTCTGTCATAAGGTGACCTGAGAAAAGGTGATCCTTGGTGCCTACTGATATCTTCTTGCTTAAGTTCTTCAATAAAAGTCATATTCATCAAGGCGAGTCTCAACTGCAAATAGAGGAAAAAAGGTGTCATTATTAGAAACACAAGTGACGACATCCCAGATAGCACTAGAATGTAGTAATCTCTTTTATGCCGAAGATGCCTATCGAAGAGCAGAATTGCTACAAATTCTCCACATACATATGTAAATATGAGTAAGTTGGCCAAGGACGTAAAAAACAGGAACCTTATGAAGTGTCCTTGATTATCGTAGTTCACGCAATTGTTTATCCAGAAGCAGTGGTGGTCCATCTTTTTTACACAGTGTCCACAGGATGAGCAGTGGTGGGCTCTCTCCGGCTTGTAGTTGTTGCATCTTTTACAGAATTTCCTTGCATGATGATTTGCTAGGCTGATTGCTTCTAGATCATATCTGACATGGCCTCTGTAAACTATGGAAAGCGCCAGGTAAATTATTGAGAAAATGCTCGAGAGTAGAAGTAAGGAAAGGTAGGCCCTTTTGAACGCAAATCGGGTGGGGAGGATTATTTCAGATACTGGAACTGTGTATGTGAGCATAAGTGAAGAAATTAGTAACACCATTCTAGAATTCGGTCTTACTTTAACCATCTAAAGGGTTTATTTATTTGCATTTTTAGAATAGGCTGCTGCATGGGAAAGAAGAGTATGAAACCTGCTTCAGAAAAGGTTTGATGCTAAGACATTTCAGATTATCTTGGTGTGAAAACGAATCAGCTCCTTGTAATCATCTGCCCAAAATGGGCCAAGAAGTTCGTATGAGTAGAGTATCTTTTTTCCTTCCCTTATAGCTCGCTTTCTTTCAAGTTTCACAGAAAATAGAATTCCATTTTCAAACTGGCTTTCAGACAGAATGAAGGGTATGCAAAAGGATGATGATATAGGGATGTTGATTATGTAATCAAATACCAGAGCCACTTCTATTCCCTTAACAATAAGGAACGACCCTTCTTCTTCGAATCGGATCTCGTTTCTGACAAGTTCCTTCTTCATTCCGTAACTAGTCTTTAGGTATGAATCAAACAATAAGAAGTCGTTTTTAAGCTTCATGAAGAACCTGATGCTACTCCTTTTATACTCCCTAAATACAGACTTGGCTGCTATCAGGTATTCCGAATACATTTTCTCGAAGAGCTGGGATCCATCATTCTTTGTTTCAACTTCAAAAGGGAATTTGTACATCCTCTTCTCTTGGATCTGGATTTCTGAGTCAGTCACCAAGGCCATCGAAGTAAATATTCCATAACATAACTTTTTCTCTTCATTCTTAGGCTCAGTCTTGGCCTTCAGAAGAAGCTCTTCAAATATGCTGTCCTCCATCAGATCCTGCTTTGATGGAACCTCCTTACAGCTTATCTCATTCTTCTTGTACAGCGATTGTGACAAAACATCAAATGGATTATCACTTATCTTGGACAAAGCATTTATTTTACCATCCATCCCACATCTCCTCTTGGTTCCCTGTCCATTTTTGCCTTTTGCACCAGACCCTAGAACGCCCTCCACGCCCACGTTTAGACTTGTATTTTCCATTTGATTCGAAAGGTTATGTCTAGCTATATCTTCTTTATTGAAAATTTTTACCGAATCCAGAGGCATGCCAGGATTAGTAGGAGAGATACTGGGGGACTATGGGACCATACTACAGAAAATAGGTCTTTTCCTGAGAAAAAGAAATGGAAGCACGATGGAATACATAACTCAGGGCACATCTCTAGCATATTCCCAGGTGATTCACGGCCTTTCTCTGATGATACAGCGCAGGCTTGTAAAGTACTTTCAATATGAAAAGAAAGTCCACTATGTACTTGATACAGACATGGCATATAGAAGGATGTATTTCGGGACTTATTGCAGTCTCGTTGAGGATTTGTTTGGAGAAGAGGTTGCCGAAGGGTTTATGAAGATATTGGTGAATGGATTTACCAAGGTGAATATCTCTTTGGAAAAAAAAGTCGAGGAACTTGTCAGTGCAGGAGTGATTATCTCTATAAGTATGAAGGAGGCAGGCATATTAGTTGCAGAATCAAAAAACCTAGGAGAGCACATGACAAGAGACAGACAAGATAAAGTGAACGAAGAGGTGCACAGGAAGAGCAGGAAAACCGTAGAAAGGGCAAGATTTCATGTCATTGACTTTGATGCCTTGCATGCCATGATGATAAACAATAGACTTCTAGCTCTTGTTAAGAAAAGGTATCTATCAAAGGCTGAAAGGATTTATAAGTCGATTCTCGGACGTAACTTGGTAACTGTGGATGCTATAATAGAAAGCCTCGAGGATGAGGCGGACATCACCAGAGGAGATGTTGTCTCATGCATCAAATACTTTAACAATTGTGGGCTTGTCAGGAAAAGTATGGATTGTACAGAAACCTATTTTAAGGATGAAGACGACATAAGAAAGATTCTTGTTGTCGACACATTAAACAGGATTCTGTCTGAAAACAGCAAAGAAGCACGAAGGATTTTCAACATGATGCTAGAATACAAATCACTAGAAGACAAGGACATTGTAATCAAGTCGCTTGTTCCTTCTCATATTGTCAAGAAAGCAGTTCTTATGCTTCATTCAAACGGATTTATGGTGTTAAAGCATACGGGAGCTGGAGAGTCGAGGCCGGTACTTGAATGGCAAGTGGATATTGATCGTGTATCAAGGATTGTCAGCGAAGAAATCAAGCGAGTACTAGAGGAATCCTGGACACTGATAAACCAAAGATGGGGATATATTGGAAGCAACGGGGATGGCGAGGATGGAGGGAGAAAAGAGCTCGAGCGGATGCTGGGCTTGTCGTTAGATTTTTTTGTTCTTGGGATCCGAAATATAAGCTTCAAATCCGAGATATTTTGAAATTTTTGAAGAAACATTTGGATGTCCCAGAAATAATGATCAAAAGCTTTGAGGAAGCACTTCTTCGGATATCTGAGCTAGAAGAAAAGACAGAAAACCAGCAGATAATAATTGATGCTCTTGTGGCTCATACAAAGAATCTTATGAAAGGTGATAACGGCGTGGCCTTGAAGAAAGATTGTGTAGAGCAGGAAGGGAGCGAGAGTGGCAGAACGGTTGCCCAAGACATGGCGCGGTTTGAACTTAAGAGAGGAGAAGATAGAAAGAGCAGGAGGAGCAGCAAGTCTCTTGAGAAAGAAGTCGAAGATCTATTCAGAAGAGACAAGACATCCAAGCAGTTCAAAGATGCCTTCACGATTGACTCTCTTCTGTCCTACTCCAAGGAGGCACACAGCTTTTCATTAAATGTCAGAACAGAGGTGAGAATGAAGAAGTCATTTCATACGAATGTTAAACAACAAATTGATAAGATCATAAGGCACATGATAGTGAATTTGAACACATATGATCTCAACACGGTTTGCTCAACACTTAACTTGATTTCTGGGGATATAGAGTACCAGCACAAGCTTGTGATTACCCACGACATCGTCCTCTTCATAGATGATTTCTCCAGAATACCGTTTATTGTCTCTGCTCTATTCAATAACCAAGGGATCTATGATGACGTACTAGGAAGCACCATAAAGGAGATCCTATTTCATCAGTGCATGGTTGATAGTGATATAAACAGGAGTCATCCGCACATTGTAGGATACTATAACAAGATAATTGACAATTTTGAACTCCATCCGAAAGAAAAGTCTTTGAAGGATCTCTGTGCCAACTTGATAGGAAACTTCAATGTTTTTGAGGACGGAGGCTTCAACCCTGCAATCTTTCCAAGCATGTATTCTGTAAGGGTTCTATGCCACTATATGGACTGGGACTACACATACAATGAGTTTATATGCTCTGTGCTATATCCAAAACTGAGGGAAACCCGAAATCCTTTGTATGCCATCTACATGTTTACTGCTGTATTTAATGCGCTACGTGTGTTCGGATACATCGAGAGTGTTGAACTTGTATTTAGCAGACTCAAGGAGCTTATGGATGACAGCTCTGATCTCTCTATAGTTTCTTATTTATTTATCAAGCAAGTTGATCCTGAGAGGGCCGACAGATGGTATGAATCACAGAGGGGCAACATTAGACATGTTGACGGAGAGTATCTGAGAAATCTACTGCTGTATTAATGTGGAAATAAAGCTTTGATGTGACTCTGAAGTATAGAAATTTTGTACCCTTAGAAGATGAACAAGGAGGCTTTTGAAAGGCTTCCCCAGGAAAAGAAAAAGATTATAGAAACGGCCTATTTCAGTGCAGTTCGGAAGGAGATATCGGCATCCCAGTTTTTCGGTGTTTGCAAAGAAGCACTGACCAAGGAGCAGTTTGAAAGTTTGTTTTCAAACAACACACCAAACAAGGAGCAGCAGGAGGAGATGAAAACAGAGCATCTTCAAGACATCATACAGTATTCTGGAGTAGACCTGAAGGAAGAGGCCGAGCACATTGTCCGAGAAACGGAGACAAATATTAACTTTGGCGAGTACGATGAAGAGGATGCAAATGATCAAATAGGGAGTTTACTGAATGTGCCACAGTTTAGGGAGTTTATAGCTAGAATTGGGAATTCAAGAAGGGTAGGGGTCAGTGAAGAGTCATTTTTCCTGTTGTTTCAGGTTGTCAGAAGAAAGATACTGGACACTGTGGAGAAGATGGAAGAGTCTAGTAAATGGAGAGTTGAGTACAATTTGTCTGAGTTTATAATAAGGATAAATAATGATCTCAGCAGGCAACTGTGGTGCCTTGAGCAGATAGAAAAAGCTGAACTTGAAAAGTTTACCATTAGGAGAGGAGAAGAAGAAGGAAAGAAAAAGGTAAAGAAGACTATTCAAGAGAGGGAGGACCTGGTCATTAAGAAGAGACTGAGCAACACTGTTGCTCTAGCAGCCCTTGGTGTGCAACAAAAGTCATGGATGAGTGCAGAAGATGTTCGAGTGAACGAAGAAAGCACAGCCTTCAATTCGATTTATTCTCCATTTGATGAGAAAGCGTTGGAAAGAAAGGTAGCAAACAGAACAATAACTATGAAGGATCTTCTGTATGTACTAGAAAGAGACAGGAGATATAACAAGTCCATCTTCACCATTCAGCATTATTTCAGATAAAGAGGTTCTTTCCGTGAGAAATTTTATATCTGCTCTTTGTTTTATAAATGAAATTGCACCAGGGACCAAAAGCAACTGGTGAGAATGGATAAAGAAAGCCTAGAGAAATTTCAAGCGCAGATTTCGATTTTATCAGCTAAAGAGATCGAGAAGACCATGAAGAGGCTGGGCAGGGACGAGTTTGACGTGTTTATAGATGCTTTAGAGAAGTACAACATGGATTTGGACAAAGATCTTGAGTGTGTAAAGAATGATCTGAGACAAAGATTGGAGAATCATAAGATGCTTTTTGAGGATGTTTGGAACATAATTCCAAGTGATGTTAGAAAACATCTAGTAGGGTATTACCGATCGATGGGGAACATTTTGTAGAAAGACCTTTTCCTGTCTGGAATATAGTAAATACTTTCTTGCTTGTATTTTTGGTGTTTGGATGTATTAAAGCCTTGTGAGTAAGCCCTGCAACATCATGGAGGATTATATTGGAACAAGATTACTGTTCGAGACATCTAAGGGAATGATATCAGGGATGCTCAAGGCTGTCGATGAGAATGTTGGAAAGTTGGTTATAGAGGGCGAAGATGGGACAAGGGATGTACTTATTGAGGACATCCAGAGGTTGGAGATTGTGGAAGAGCCTTCCTCTAACATTTCTGTGGAGTCCAAGGCCAAAGAGGATGAGAAGGCCGAAGTGCTCAATCCGTCTATTGGAACAAGTGATAAAAGTACAGTAGAAGCTTCAAGGCTACATTCTGTGAGCCATGTGGGTTTGAGGACAGGCACCGGGCTGATGGCTTCTAGTGAAAGGTATAAGAGTAGCCAAACAGATACAAGCAGAACGATCTATGAAAACGGTGACAATACTCGATCTTCCGGAAAGACAGGGATTGAAGGAAAGGATGATAGGAATGCGCTGGAAACCTCCGAAGAGAATTACTATGGGATGATGAAGCGGGCATTCTGTTATTTTGGACCTCTCGAGGAAGAGTTCTGTTCCATTGCAGCACGCCAAGCATACCGAATATTCTCTACATACTTTGGAAATTCAACTCTAAAAGTAGAGGTGCTTGTGAGTGGAGACGGTGTCTTTCCAAGCATAGGGCTTATTCTTGGAAGGCTGCTCTTGAACTCGGGAAAAAAGCTGTCTGTTATATGCAATGAAATTCCCTTAAGGAGTGTAAAGTATAAGCAATCATACATGAATTCTGGGGGAATCATTGCCAATAAACCCAGTTTAGAATCAACCATACAAATTTATAGTTGTGGCAAGGCATTGATCTCAACTTGGCCCAGAAGTAGTGCAAAGGGATTCATGTATTTAGACACCCCTGGATTCATTGTCGAGGAAAGAGAGACGAAAATAGGCCTATGCTTCGGATCAATACCCACGTACTTCCGAAAGTTTAACGGAATAGTGTATTTTGTTGATATGGAGTACCCATCGCTTCTTTATGAAGAGTTTGGGCTTCAAAGGCCTACGAAAAGCAAGATTCACAAAGTGAAGTAGGGTACTTTAATTTTCAATGAAGTCCTCAAAAAACTTACTCACGCATAAAGATGGATTCTCTCCATTGAAACGATAAACATTCTTGAGGTTCTTGCTTTCAATGTTAAGGGACTTAAGATCCAAGACCCCGTCCACGCTGAACATCTCAAAAGCCTTTTTGAGTTCTGCCGGACAAAAAAGAGTATTATGCATCTCTCTAACTATTAAAAGATAATCTTCCAGGGATATTCGGCCTTCTGGGCTTCCAAATGGAACCATTCCTTCATCCACCGACAGGCCCAGCTGGCTTAGACACCAGCATAAGTCTGTGGAACTTATCCCACACTCGTCTTTCTTTACTACCTTATTAAATAGAGCAGTAGCACTTTCGAGGACTTTTTCTTCCTTGCTTTTTTTGTCTTGAACATTTTTTAGAGTCTCAAGTTTCTTTGATGCAATGCTCTTAAATCCTTCCTTCTGGTCTTTGGCCAATGGATGTGTGAATGTCATTTCCATCAGCTTGTTGGAGAGTTCTGAAGCATCCTGTATCTGTTCTTTCACACTTTCGCCTTTTGAAAGTGTATGCTTAAAGAACTCAAATACCCTGTTCAAAGCATTAATCTCAGATTGGAATGACGGATCAAATAGCTTCCTGATCTCGATGCTATCAGCAATGGTTTGAGGCTGCAGAGGAGAAAACGAAAGCTTGTCCAGAGTTACATCCTCTGGCGGAGAGTATTTCTTCATTCTGTAGAAACTATGGACCGCATTTATGCTTCCAAGGAGAGAATGAAGCTCAGTAGATTCATGGATGGCTTTGGAGTTTGTCTCTAACATCAGGCTAAATGATTTGTTGAGACTTCTTATAATCTTACACACCTCTTTCTTCTGATTGTTTAGGCCCTTTATCAAGGATAGCAGGTTTCTTGCTTTGATCTCATAGAGGTTTCTAGCCTGTATTGACCAGTCAATGGTTTCCAAAACTCCTTTGACCCTCTCTCGAGCAGATCTTTCTTTCTCATACTCCTTAAACTTTCTATAATACCCAGAGACATATGTCATAATACTTTTCTCATCAGGAATAGATACTCCTGCTATGTCCTCCACATCAAGAAGCTTTTTTATATTGAGGAACCTTTCTGCAACCTTGAATGCCTGGGTTAGATTGTACACTTTCTCGGAACTCTTAAGGCTCTGAAAGTTTGGAATAAGGTCTGGTCGGAACTTATGGATAATTGCATTGAACGCAAGTCCGTCCTGCCAGCTCTTTGAGAAATCAACTATATTTACATTTTTGTATCCATTCGTTACCTCTTTACACCATCTGAGCAATTCGTTTCTTATTGAAAGCTCGCCAGCCTCTGCCATCTCTGCAATGGCCAGTCTTGAAATCAGAGACCATATTAGTCCCAATATAAGCTTTGGATTTCCATCAACAATATCGGACGCTCCTATGTTTATAAGCTTGACCTTCTTTTCTTTTATAAAAGATAGAACTCTTTCCACATTCTCCATTTTTTGGATCCGAGTATATGGCACTGGATTATACTCAACTGTATCCTTCTGAAGAGCCATTAACAAATTCGCAAGCTTTACTCCATCGCGTAGGTCTTCAAACATATCCTTGATCTCCTCGTGGCCCCCTCTTGCTAGTTTCTCATTCACCCACTTTGTAAATGTCTTTTTTTGAACTTTTTGCCATTCTTTCTCCTCTTGCTGTGTCATCTGGGATAACCCTCTTTTCTAAATAAAATGTTGGGCCTTTGGCCACCTAGGTGCAAAACATGTAAAAGTAGGAAATCACAATATTTTAGTTATGACAGCAGAGATTACACAAAAACAAGCTCGTGAACAACAACGCCCTGTGGTATAGCCCCAAAGTCCAATCTATACATCTCCCTTGTGATGGTCTTGGCATGATCTAGGTCATGGAGCGTTGTAAATGCAGCTTGGGGATGCAGCACTAGACTAAATAATCCTAGAAGTGAGTCAATGGTCATTTCTGTCACATCTGAGTTTTCATCAATTATCCTTAGCAACTCAAAAAGTGAGACAAGTAGACGTCTTTCTGCATCAGTAAATATAAACGGCATGTAGGAAAATAGCGCTTCTTTTCTATGCCTATCATTTGAGATGATACAAGACTTAATCTTCTCAAAAACTTCTATGGGAATTAGGCCGTCCAGGTGCTCTCTTATGTAATTCTTGAGGGCATTGGCCAATACCAAAACATTTGTGCCTTCGATGTCTACACATTTATCTTCGTGCACCATGTTTGCTATTCTTGATGCTTCTGACTTGTCTGGCTCGTAACGGAAGATGAATTTGGTGCATACTGCCCTTCTCTTTAGTGACTCGATAACATCGAAGACCATAGGGTTGATCAGCCTACAGCGTCCTATACTACTTTTCTTCCAGAAACAGTTCATCCAAGCAAAAAGAGTATTGGTAGATCTTTTTCTAAATGCATTCCAACAGAACCTGCTGAGTTCAATCTTTTGCGATGAGGACAGAAACTCGTATCTAAATTCCAGAAGCTCCTCTTCAGACTTTTCAGAAGGAAAGACTGCAGTTTCCAACTTTTTCTTTCTCTGGATGGATGTTGAGCTAAAAAGCCTTTCATATAAAGCCCTGGCACTGGAATTCCTAAAGCCTCCTATGTTTTCTTGCACAGATCCATTCTTTAGATAGTTGGACGGTGTGTGGTCACTTTCGGAAATAGGTTGAAGAATGACACGTGGACTGTATGGTTGAGGATGTACTGAAGGAGAGGCATTTGACTCAGAACAGGGCTCATCTCCTTTCGCATGTGTCTCCTCTATCTCCTTCATCTCTGCTATGTTAAAGATCTTTCTTTTCTTTGGAAAATCTCTCAGCATCCCGGGGTTTGTTTATGGCCTTCATAATACGTATACAAACTCAATAACAAGATCGTAATTTTACAAAAAACTTGCTGACGTAATACATTAATGGGTCCCGCCACCGTGACATCTACCAGGTACTCGTTTAGATTCAAAAGAAATGAGTGAAAATTTCTAAATCCCGACAGATGCTAAAACTCCTAAAAAATTTCAGGTTTCTATCTCTCAGGGAATTTTTAGCAGCTTATAATATCACAGACCTTCCAGACGTGGTAGATAGAGTGTACATAAAAGCAAATAGGAAGCCTCGGGTTTCTTCGTTTGCAAGTAACCTGAAAGAGATAGAGTTGATTTCAAAGGCTATCAGGGTGCTTCTATCAAAAGATCAAGAAAACCATCTTTGTGCGGGATATAAAAAATGGAAGTTTGGGTCTCTGGATCCTAGAATTGTATGCTATTCGCCCAGCGTGTCTTCAAAGATCCTTAGGTCCCATGAATGGAGCCGACTGATGAGGTCTATTGGGGACGAGCTGGCTCTTTTCATACTCGTAGAGTGCCTTGTGATTCAAGCAATTAATGGTAACTACATATTTCTGGCAGGAAACTTCAGAAGTCTCGGCAGAATTGCAACAGAAAGAACTACCAATACCTTGAACAGGAACGTGCTTTTCTGCAAGCAGATTAGAAGAGTGGACTTCTGCTCGCTGTCTGCTTTTGAGTATGTATTTGAGGCCCATAGCTCAGAAAAATACAAGACTATACAGAAGGATACCAAAAATATATTGGAAGGTATAGAAAGGAGATGGAAGAACTTACCTGTTCATTCTGTGTTCAGATCCTTCTTCAAGGACGAGCTGGTTCTGGAGGGTAGGAATAGCATTCTAGAGTGCTGCGTTAAGCAGCCGAAGCTTGTAAACTTCTTATTCCTTATTTCGAGGAAGCTGTTTAAAGATGTTTTTGACTCCCATGGATTCAAAATACTGAAGTCCAGGCTGTCTCTTTTGATCCATAGAAACCGCTACGAAACGGTCAACAAGAATGAGTTAATGAAATATTTTAGAATTTCTGGGTTCAAGTTCTTCAGAACAGCCCGGTGTACAAGAAACGAGTTTGTCTTCAGGTTTAAGATATCCTCAAGGTTTCTGGTCTACATCATGGAAAAGCTAATCATACCAATCATTTCCAAGTATTTCTATTCCACAGAGACCTCATTCTCAAAGTTCAAGGTATACTATTTCCCAAGGCCTATATGGCAACACTTTTCTGATATCTACATTGATATGTTTTTAAAGAAGTTTGAGGAAGTAGAAAAGAACAAAGCCTGTCCATATTCAGAACTAAGATGTATTCCAAAGATGAACGGTGCTAGGATTATTTCAAACATGTCCAAAGCTAGAGGAGGTAGGCCATCAATCAACAGGACTATCTATCCTGAATTCTGCATTTTAAGACACGAGACCCATCGAATGCTTGGGAACTCGATACTAAACCATTCTGGAATGTATGAAAGACTCATTCCCTACCTGTCTAGATCTGTAAAGCCCTTGTATATCCTAAAGGTCGATCTTTCAGGGTGTTTCGACAACATTCCTCAGGACAATGTCGTGAATCTTGTCAAAAAGCTTCTGAGCAAAAGTAGATATTGCACAAGAAGCTTCTCCATATTGGAAGAATCAAACGGGGAATTAAAGAACAGATATGTTTGTAGAACAGGAAAGGTTGGAGAGACTATTGAAGGATTATTGATGGAGCTATGCGGTCTTAAGAATAAAATTATAAAGGAAAATGCTAACCAGAGAATCTTGGACAAAGAGGAGGTTGAGAATGCCATAGTAGGTATTGTTAAGAGGAACTGTGTGAAACACAATGGAAAGTTCTTTATACAAAAAACCGGGATTGCCCAAGGGTCTGTGACATCTACGCTCCTGTGTAGCTTATACTACAAAAGTATTGACGACCTTTACTTTGATAAGATCTTTAAAGAAGGGATTCTCACAAGATACATAGACGATTTCCTTGTAATCTCTCCGTCCATAGATGAAATACTGAAGTTTCTAGAAATCTCCCAGACTATCTCACATCTAGGAATCAACTTCAGTAAGGAAAAGATGGAATCAAACTTTGGGCTGGATGAATACTTGAGCAAGGTGTCCAATATTTCCGAGCTTTCTGAGTACAAGGATAGCATGAAGATAACAGACAAACCCGTTACATGGTGTGGAACAAAGATACTTCCTGGCGGATATTCAATCAAATCATGTACTATGAATCCATACCTTCCTTTTTCTGCCGCCCATAGTTCAATAAAGCCTGGAAGAGCCTTAGAATGTAGGATGAGGAAAGTATTGCAAAACAGAATGTCCAGAGTCTACATAGATCCAAGCAACAAAAAGGCATATGAGAACATATATGATGCATTTCTGTTCTACGGGAAGAAGATGGGCCTTCTTCTCAAAAGAATGGACTTTATCAATCGTTCTTTTGCCGAAAGGGTCCTTGAATATTCAAAACGCTTTACCCTTAGGGTCTGCCGGGAGCGCGGAATTTCGATAACTAAAAAGAAGGTAGAAGATATAGCATCAAAGGCTTTTGAACGAAGCGGAATCAGCAAAACAATATCAGCTTAATTGGCCCACGGAAATACATCCAACATTCCTAAGTAAACATTTTAATATAAGTCCTTTATTACTTACCATCTGAGAGTACTGCTCCAAGGAATTCCTCCAATCAACTGCTAAAATCCAACTTTTGCTTACTTCTGAATCTATTTGGGCTTCGATCTCTCAAGCCGGTGCTTAATCTTCTGCTTAGAGGTGAATAGGCTGGCCCACGCGCACTGCTGGACTCTTTGTCTTCCTTAGTGAACTCCACGGTAACCTTGTCTGATATTGCCTCAATAGGCCTCCCCATCACAAGTAGATTCCTTCCTTCAGATCTTGAGCGGGAAAACCATTGGGGCATCATAATGGTAAGGTGAGGCTTATAAATCCAGTTGTAGACATAGTCAATTGATAGTCCCATACTGGCAGCCTTATATTTCATATTCAGCTTGTCTCTGCATGCTATCATCAGCAGATGAGATGGAACTAAATCCTCACATATAGACTTGACGGCACATATAAACAGATCATTCAAGCCCAAAAAGTTTACAAGCTTCATCCCTCTTTCTTTGGTCACAAGCGTCAGGAGAATACGAAAGATGTCCCTAAGAGAAACATCATCAACATTAAATATGTCAAACAGCAAATAGAGCCCATTAAGCAACGGTTTCACCATCATACATCTCTTCATTGCAAACTCCAGCCTTTCTACACCATGCTTTCCATGAGCTTCTGGAGATGGATCCTCGTAAGAGCTCCTCTTCTTGAAAAGGAGTTTCACGATAATTTTTTTGTATATGTTATCGAGAAGGCTTCCTACGTATCTATCTCCATGGTATATGGATATTGCAAACACGTTAAACGACAGAAACACCCGCATTCCATCATCGATATTCTGCAGAAGAAATAATGTTCTTAACATCTCCTCACTTGTCAGTCCCGACCTTTGGACAGGAGTAAGCCTAGTAGGCCTAAACACATCGATCAGCCCCTCGACCTCTCCGAATAGATTGAAGCTATCCAGAAGAAAGTTGAGAAAAAGAGTTTTATCTACATCATCTATCTGCACCACTAGCTTTTCGGAGAGTGCAGCAAGCTCCTTTAGAAAGTCCCTGAATTTCAAAAAAAAATGAAGGGAGTTTTTGAAGACATTGTAGTTAATCCTGATTTTTCTCTCCAGCTCATCGGTTTTTACAAGGATGATGTTCTCCACGCTTATTCTCGCAGCGGCCCCATTGGCGCTTCCTCTTTTGTAATCGTTTTCAGTGCTGTATTCAAACGAATCTTCTTCTTTCATCCTATAATCCTCGTGATCATTAATGCATCTTTGCACGCACTTCCATGCGTTTGTGTAAATATAATTCACAGACATTCCTACAACAATCTCCTCATCAAAGTTTATTTCCAAGCGTGCTACGCTATTCTCCATTCCGTTATGGCTGCAATTAAAATTGTTTTTGTCCATTTCCGATTACAGAAAGAATGAAATACATTTGCCAAGGCTATTGAATCACAATGCAAGATTGCCGATTTAATCCATCCTATGGTGCGGTGCTCATAACCTTTGTGCTTGTTTTCCTCTGAAGGATGTGCATATCAAATGGCTTCTCTTGTACAGTCTAGATGTTATTGCCATTCTTACTCGTGTAAATAGTAATGTTTTGAGTAAACATTGTGCAGATTAAGATGATCAGGATTAAAATGCACCTAAAACCACCCCAGGATGTCCAATTTGGATTTCTGCACTATTTACACAACAACAGGGCAGATCGATCAACTCACCTATGCACAGAAGGCAGCAGATTCTGGAGACACCTGTATTGGAATGAAAAGCAGGCACGGGGTGGTTTTATTAGCAGAAAAGCCTAAGATATCGCCTCTTTATGTGGCGGAGTCTGATGAAAAGATAAGAAAGGCTGGGAACTCTGTTGCTGTAGCATGTACCGGGCTCATATCAGATGCATTTTACGTTGGGTATGCTATCAAGGACCATGTATTTCATCACAAGGAAAACTTTAATGAAGATCCTACGCCTGAAATCATGAAAGTTTATCTGAATGATATATTTCACTACTTCACTAGAAGCATCAGCCTTAGGGTTCTGGGAGTAAACTCTCTAACAAGTGTATACAAGGAAGGTAGGTTCTCATTGCTACATACAGATTGTTCTGGAAAAACACTCTTCTATAAGGCAGCCTGTATAGGGAGGGGAACGAGAAGGATTAAGACCGAGCTTGAGAAGCTAGACATCGACAACATGACCATTGAGGAAATGGTGGATGCCGGGGTAAAGGTACTGTACATGGCCCATGATCCTTCCAAAGACAAGGAGTTTGACATTGAAATCGGAGTTGTATCCACGGAGACCGGTGGAAAGATGAGGAAGCTTAGGAACAGCGAGATACAAGTATTTGTTGATAAGTATAAGCACATTACTGTTGACGAGGACTAGGCCCGTGGTTCTTTTTGTTACTAGCAATAAATCCTTTGCTTAATCATCCCCCATGACATCTGTAATAAACTACAGATTTCGATCAAATAAGAACTTTTCTCGTATCCAGTTCCAAGGAACAGGGCTTCCTCTGTGGGAGCTCAAGTACGAGATAATCAACCAAAGAAAGATGATCTCGAAAGATTTTGATCTCTTGTTTTTTGATGGAGAGACAAACGAAGAAATAAACGATGAGTACCAGCTAATTTCGATGAACAGTCATGTAATAGTAAACAGAATTCCTTTGTGGATGTCAAAGGGCGGATACAATGTTAAGGAGAAGAGGTTGGAGTCTCAAGGCCACCACAACACCACGCAAAAGTATAACAAAGCTGTTCCCGAAAGTTATGTATGTTTCAGATGCGGGCAGAAAGGGCATTATATCCAGAACTGCCATACAAACCAGGATAAGGCGTTTGACATCCTAAGAATCAGGAAGCCCTCTGGAATTCCCAAAGACTTTCTTGTTCCTGTGTCCGGGGAAAATGTACCATCCAATGCTGCAATGCTGGTTACTCCGGAAGGAGGATATGTCAAGGCTCAGCCTCAAGTTCAGGAGTGGAAGAAGTATAAGCAAAGGAGCAAGATGACTGTCGAGATTCCAGACAGACTTAAATGTCCCTCTTGCCATTGCTTATTAGTGAATCCTATAAAAACAAGTTGCGGGCACACATTGTGCGATCAATGTGTAAGAATGGACAGAAAATGTTATGTATGTTCCAAAGTCATTGAAAACTTCACACAGGACATAAACATGAAGATTGAGGTAGAGAGAGCCATAGAACAAAGAAAATAATAAAAAAAGCAATTAAGGCTTTCACATAGACATTGAGAAATGTCGATCATATAAAATTGTATTAAGATTTATGGAACTGAGCAGATCTTACAGTATCTGTTTGTAGAGGAAATACTCAAAGAAGGGATTATCTGGAATCGAATCAACATGAACAGCATCTTGGTCAAACTCTCTGCACTTTGGGCTTGTGCAATCAGAAAACTCTATGTCATAATATGCTGAGATGTCCTTGATTAAGAGTCTGAACTCCGGAATGGATCTGGAGCAGCAGCAGAGAATAAGCCTCTTGAGCAGAACATGTGCTCTGTGAATAGGCTGCCTTATTTTTATGAATAGAAGCTTAATGGCCTTTGAAACCCCATCATTATCTGCAAGCTCTGGATTCATTGGGTGAATCATTGAGTACACTAAGTCCACCAACCCGTTGAAATCGTAGCATTCATCTCCATACAGGGTTAATATGCATAATATCCCTTGAATCTTAGCATCTGGTGGTACTTTCGAAAGATTATTGTTCAGTAAGAAATAAAGACCCTCCATGAATTCTGGACGAAGAATTTTTCTGTATTTAACAAGTCCTATGAACACATACTTATAGTATTCATACCTGTTCCTCTTGAGAATTGTAAAATACAATCTCTGGATGACGTCATAAATCTTCTTGCAGGTTTTGATTTCTTCCACTCGCTCCTCAATGTCTTCCTCGTCCCTTACTTGAGACTGAATCTTTAATCGTTCCTTCTCCATCTTTTTCAGTTTTTTGCTGAATATCTGCTTTCTATGGAATATGCTATTCTTCTCTCTTCTAGAAACAGACCTATTGGCCTCCCAGTACTCCCTAGCCTTCTCCTCGTCACTTTTCAGAGAATTGTTCACAAACGGAATGTCTACTAGGTATTCCAGGACCAGGGGATTGTGTTCAAAGTCAAGCATCTGATCTAATATGATTACAATTAGTTCTCCAGAGCAGTCACTTCTCAGTTTTGATTTTATAGTGTCGCAGCACAGCATTGACACAGGCCTCCTTCCAAGAGATCCTCTTAGCACTCCTGAAACAATCTTATCGGTACAATTAAAGTGGTCGAAATGCTGCAAAACCTCACATAACGAAATATAACTTTCATCAGACATATCGTCAACCAAGATCTTTATATACGATGCATACCACTTCAGAAGGCTTCTGTCATAGTCCTTTATGTGCAGATTGTCTCTTTTGTCCTTTACTATGTCCTTCAAGGATCTGACTTTGTACAAAGGAATAATTGCCTTGAACACTTTGAGAAGAGACAGATAAATAATCCCTTTTGCCCCGCCTTCTGATCTCCCGTCGCTAAGCATCCTGAATAACTCCTCCATCATCTTTAGATTCTCTTGCGGCTCCTCTATGATCTTTGTGCATATCGATGCAATTCTTGACTTCTGGGAGTCCATTTTATTCATCGGCAAGCCTGCGCAATTTTTATCGGAGCAAAAAGTAACCGTCAAGGCCAAATATGGAAGAACATTATGTTTATTTCTTGATCAAATACGGATCTTGTATATGAGGCCAAATCAATAATCTATGTGTCTTTCTGTCTTTCAGTGTTTGCCTTTGTGCAGCTTGCACGGCGTAAGCGTAATATCGAGACCTTGTTGATATAAAAAAAAGGCTTCATTTCCCTGGCACAAAGAATATCTCCATCTACTTCGTAATGAATCTTCGAAAGACAGATACAGTTATCAACCCTATGCTTCTTACACTTGCTAATGTCATCTATGGCACTACTATCTTTGCTGTGGACCGCTTTCTTGTCTATATTGCCCTGTGATGGGCATATCACGAATGCATCCTCGTTTGGAACCTCTCCAATAAGGATTTCTTGACCCCCGAACCCGGTGCTTGGAATGCCGCTCTCTGTAATATTCTCTTCCATCTCAGGAATCCTTCTCTTTGGTTTCAGTGCATTTTATCTGTTTTTTCATATGACATCAAATAAGGGGAAATGCTACTAGGTCTATTGGCTATCTGTCAAAAAAACACCAGGAAAATACCTGGACAAAAGAAAGTGACATTTCTTTGTAAAAATTTGCCCAGGATGATTGCAGTAATAGACACGGGATATCTGATAGAGAGGCTGCTTCCAACAGAAGGCCTGATTAGGGGATATGTTACAGATTCTGTTATAAACGAGCTCAAGACTGCAGAGTCTAGAGCATATCTTGAGTTTCTTTCTTTCATGATAGAGGTAAGGAATCCTTCGGAGGAGTATGTTACTAAGGTCAAGAACGACCTAAGGAAGGAGGTGAACAATCTAAGCGACACAGACATTGACGTTGTGGCATTGACACTAGAGTTGAAGGATGAAGTCACCGAAATGTGGCTTGGGCCTGAAAGCCCTGAGCAAGAGGAGGTTATTTGCTTTACAAACGACAACGGGATAAAAAATGTCTTGTCTCGCTACAGTTCATATGACGACCCTGAGTTTTCGGCTAGGAAATATAAGACCAGATGCTATGGATGCTTTAGTCTTTTCTCCGAGAACTTGGACTTCTGTAAGAAATGTGGACTTCGGACGTTGACAAGAATAACGGTTGCAGATACAAAGAATGGCGAGATGATGTTTTTCAAGAAAGGATATCAATACAGGAAGCCAAGAACGCTGAAGAATACTCGGGGTGTTGAGCTCCGTAGTGCTGACCAAAGAGAATACATCCAACACCAAAAGGTGATGAGAAGTAGAATGAACAGAAATCGTAAGGAAATAGATTTCTAAGGATACTATTGTTTATTGAGGCCAATGATGTCAGACAAGAAGAGCAAACCCTCTGAGACAATAACATTTTTTATATCGTTTGTAGATATTTTTTCTTTCTCACCTGACATCTTCCTTGCTTTGTACAATATAAACTCTGAGATGATTTCGACATATTTTGATACAAGCTTTGCTTTTCTCTCTTCATTACTAAGGTTTATCAGAGAAACAATGTCTGACATGCTATGGATATCTGGTGCCTTCTTCTTGGACAGCTTTTCCCCATTTGCTTCTCCTTTCTTACAAGCTAGCAATAGCTTGTTCTTGTATCCCATAGGCAACCCTAGTAGACAGGTTTATTATATTCGGTTTAGTTCTGAAAGGCTGGCAAGTGATATAAATGGATATGATTTCTTCCTGGAAATGTGATCATGTATCCCAATGACTATTTTTCGAATTCAAAAACACCGTTGGATGAAAGAGGCAAAAGGATCCGAAGAAGGAAATGTAGCTGCGATTGGAGGGGCCACTAAGAGACTTGCCTGCCTTGGGATGAATTGGGCGAATCTTGACATAAAAGACTTGTTCAAGATTTTTGATTCTGCATTACCATATTCGTCGCCTCTAAATGTGAAGCTCTGTAAAACTAAGATAGGAAAGGAGAAGCTTGGAGATAACAACATCTTTGTCAAAAGCTGTAAGAAGGGAAGTATTAGAGAATGCTATGTTGCCGTTGCGGAATTTGAAGACATTGAGGATTCAAAACATGTATACTCTACTTATGATGGTGCAGAATTGGGGTGTTCTGGAATGATCTTTGATCTGAGATTTGTACCAGATTCATTAGACCTTCAAAATGTTTGCGATGAGGTTTTCAGTGATGATGAATGTGTGGAGAAAGATTTCCGAACTAAGGAAAGGGATGAAGAGGAAAGTAGTGGGATGGAGTCCGAGCTCCAGAGACTATTCAAAGAAAAGGAAATCAACTTTGATCTTGTTTCGAAACTAATTGATATATCTGACGATGAGAATATTCCTAGTCTTCAAAACGAGCTGGTGGTGTCCTCTGAAAATGAGAGGGATGATTTCTTAGAATCCGACTCAGATGACTTCAATAATAAGCCATCAAAAAATAAGAAGGTAAAGGAAAAGAAAGACAAAAAAGAAGATATAGAGCCCATTCCCAGAATTAAACCGACCGATGAATGCGACGGATTTGTGTTTGATCCAAAAGACAAAAGATTCGAAGCCATATTTGAAGATGATGACTTCACCATTGATCCTACACACCCAGAATACAAAAGAAAGAGTGGTCTGAAGGAAATATTAGATGAAAAAAGAAGACGGCTTAAGGACAATATCGATTAAGAAACCTTTTCAAGCCCCCAGGATATACTTTGAGATTTATACCAATGCAAGTAAACCGTTTATTCTTAATAGATCTTCAGCTTCTTTGCTCTCCAATATCTTCTTGCCCTGTTAAACTCCCCCTTATGCTCCTTCATCATTCTTTTCCATGCAGGAATCTCTTTGTTTTTCTTCAAAGCCTTCATAAGTCTTGTCTTTACCAAAGCAGTCTTCCTTGATCCCTAAAAATTAGTCTAGAGCTAACTCACCTTACCATTTCGTCTGGGGCTCAAATTTTTCTCAAAATAACCTTCATCAGCCACCCTGTTAGTCCAAGAGAAATGAAGCTTACCTTTTCATTCTCTCCCTATTCTTACTGTTCTCTCGCATGATGTTGTAAAAGGTGCAAAGCTTCTCAATGGTCAGATTGTCTTTGAGACTTTCTAGTATATTACAGACTATCTTTATATTGTTTGGCGTATCCTTGTCTGTCCTTATCCTATATAATTTCCACCCACCTCTCTTCAGCACAAGCTCATCAAAGTCCCAGTAGTATCCGTCACTATCGTATGTGAACTCGCCTATCTTCCCATCTATTTCTTCATCTTCACAGAAAAAGTGGTCAAACACAACATCCTTCCCTTTCTTTCCGCTACAGACCAAGTCATATACATAGTTCAATCTTTCATTCTTCACAGCTTTAAAGTCTATTGTGTTCAATGATGAAGGCTTCCACTTAAGCACTGTCCCCCTTCTACCCACAGAATAAGGTTCATTTGCAGGTGTAAAAATCAGCCCATCATTCCCATGCTTCAATTCCGGAATCTTTTTGTATATTTCCCAGAAGCCGTAGCTTTTCATCATCTCTTTAGTATAGAAATGTATATGTGTGCGATCAAGCCCTTGAGTACCTGCCTCAATAGGAACTCTTTTTTCTCCAAACCCGTCCTCTCCTTCTTTTCTCAAAACCTTGATCTTTTCCATGTTCTCATTCATCTTTTCCACAAACATCTGTGCATATCCAAGTCTTTTATATAAATTCTTGGATACCTGGGAAGTACCTTCATATATCAGGCAATCAAATATTGCATACGTAGGAGTTGTACCATCTTCTAGAAAAACCTCTCCATCAACAAGAACTTGTGAGGAAAATGGAAAGTTTATGCCCAATTCATAGAAGTCATTCTTTCTATCATAAAAATATCCTCTGGGCATTCCTGCTTTCTCTGTAACAAACAGTAAGGCCCTGATCCCATCAGATTTCTCGCATACAAGGAAATCTTCATTAAGTAAGATATTTATGTTGTCAGATGTTAGAGATATGGGGTGGCATCCAACAAATCCTTCTCTTTTCTTTCCACTTGTAATGCAAAGCTTCTGGCATATGTCCAGCTTAAGGGCTTGTGCTGTCTCCGGAGAAACCTTGTTTCCAAGATGGAAGAGCTCCATTCACAATTCAGGATCAAAACAAAATAGCATTTGTGCTCTGGCAGACACAAAATGAAAAAGATTACAGCACCCAGTATTCCCGAGTGGTCTCCCTTCTCAGTACTACCCGGGCTCGCACGGGCTTAACTTCGGAGATCTGACGAGTTCCGGTGCTTTTCCGTGGATATGGCCGTAATCAGCTGTAAACTCAGACTCCTATAAAAACAAGAACATTCACGCAGAAACATGGTATTTAATTGCTATAACCTCAGACTCACTCGCATCCTCTTTCTCTTAATCTTATATACTCTAACACCTCCGATCCACTCAGAACCTTCTTCTCATTCAAACTTTTTATCCTAGAAAACACTTCAGAATCTCTATCCCTGATCTCCTTCAAAGCACCTCCCTCCAGATCGCATTTGTGGGCTTCATCCACTCTAACTTCATCAATCCCACCGGTCACTGTAAAGCTGAATAGTTCGTTTATACATGACTTATTGAAGAATCTGTTGAGCCTCGGATTACTCAAAACCTTCTTTCCTAGAAGGTCCTTAAATATCTGCTTCTGATAGACCTTCTCTTCAATTGTGTCTTTACAAATAAACCTATATATTTCTACTCCTTTTCTCTGCCCATACCTCCAAGCTCTCTCCTTGGCCTGTGTATCTGTCGACGGGTTCCAATCGGGATCATATATAACTATTCTTGATGCCCCAGTAAGGTTCAACCCAAGGCCTCCTACCTTAGTCGTCAAAAGAAATATGAATACATCCTCGCTTCTGTTGAATCTGTCCACAAGGGAAGATCTAATGGATGTCGGTGTCCTCCCATCCATCCTTAGATATGTATACTTGTTAATACACCTCTCTATTATATCCAGCATCCTTATTGTTTGTGAAAATATAAGCACTTTGCTTCCCTCTTTTTTCCATTTCTTAAGAAGATCCATCAGAATCTTGACCTTGCATGAAGAACTAACAAGCCCGTATCGTTCTTCTCCATCCAGAGAAGTCCTAGATCCTTCATTATTCTTTTCATTAGATACCTCGGAAGAATAGTCCTCAGAGACATCCGGCCTTCTAGAAAAGAATAGTCTTGGGTGATTGCACACCTTCCGAAGCATCGAGATTCCGCTTAATAGATTCGCCTTGCCTGTAAGGACTTTCATTACATGCTTAGACTCAGAACCCTATTGTAAAGCTCAATCTGAACCGGTGTTAATGTGCAGAACACTATCTTATCCTCTTTCGATGGAAGCTTATGAGAAATCTGTGACTTTGTTCTTCTCAGTATATATGGCTCTATTAGTGATCTTAGCATCAAGCTGTGCTTGTAGGCCTTTTCCACTTGAAGGTTGGTAGCACTCTTGTATCCTCCCCGACGTATCACTTCTTCAAACTCTTCATGAAAAGAAGTGTGGGACCCTAGAAGCCCTGGATTGACAAAATCAAACATAGACCACAGCTCCCCGAGGTTGTTTTGGATAGGAGTTCCGGAAAGAACAAACTTACTCTTTGCCCTTACCTTCTTTACAGAAAGAGTTATCTGTGCATTTCTATTCTTAATCTTATGGCCCTCATCCAAAACTAAAACATCCCATAATAGATCCTTTGCTCTTACTTTGAATCTCTCATATGACATCAGATAGACTCCTTCACAGTTCCTCCCTGAAAATCCAAAGAATACTCTCACAAATGGATAGAACCTCTTCCACTCAAGAGTCCATTGTGAAACTATAGTGGCAGGGCATAGTATCAGTACTTTCGAAATAGACTTACTTTGGAAAAGAATTGCTAGAAACGCAATCATTTGGATGGTCTTCCCTAATCCCATGTCATCTGCCAGAACCCCACCCTTTCCATCCTTATACAGTCTTAGCATCCATTCCACTCCAACCTGCTGATACTCAAAAAGTGTATCCCAAAGGAAGTTGGCAACCAAAAACCCTTGGCGTGTATGACTCTCTTTCTTCAAATGGCTCTCAAATTCATGCCTTCCAATTCCCATATGCCTACAATACTTCCCTATTGCTTTTTCGCATCTAGAATTAAACACCTCAATATTTTCATCATCATCAGACCCAGACCATTCAAAATCAATGGCCTCATTACTTCCAGCATCCTCTTTTCTGTCTTCTACTCTCAACACAATCGACTTATCATCTACCAGTCCTTTTTTCACTTCCTCTATCTCTTTCTCCAGCTCTTTCACTTTCTCTACGTCTCCCTTTCTTTTGTGCATCTCTATCTTTCTTAAAAGCTCGTCAATCTTCTCTGCCGCCGTTCTTTCCAAGTATTTTTCAACAAAGGACTTCTCGTAGTCTTCTGCTCTACAATCCATAATCAAAGGGAAACTCAAAACAATATTTAATGACAACTACACATTATACTATACACTCTCCATCCATCACTTTAGAAATAACGCCTTGATATCCCCTTCCCATAACATTTCATACTCGTTTAGCTTTCCCATAACTTCATTATCTATGGACACCCCAACTGCAGCGCTTCTACGACGAATCTTATTGACCAGATACACTGTATCTTCCAAAGCGCTGGTTTTGTCATTCATCATAACAATCCCAAGACACATGGAAAAATACTTGATTTCAAGGCCTTTATACATTTCCAAAACCCTTGGCCTGTATCTACACACCCCAACCATCTCATTTAGCCATCCATCTAATTCTTTTGGATTCTCAACAGGTATTCTTTCAACATATCTATCAATCTCTTCATTGATTCTACTTTCAATGTACTCATGAATCCGAAGTCCGTTTGTCTCGTCATATTCTTTAAGCCTTGCGAGGCTTTCTATCCTTTCCGTAACAGAAGCCTTGCCTATCTTTGAGTAAATGTTTTCAAGATGGTCTATCATCATCAATCTATATCTCTCGCATTCAAAATCCAAAATGCACATGCATTTGATGATTGTGTTTATTCTTTCCTTACTGTTGAATCCTATACTTCTTTTGAACTCGGTACTCAGAAACCCTTCAAGGTCCTTGCATTTATCTGAATCGGTGGCTAGTATTCCCAAAAGCATTTCAATGTCCCGAGTTCTCTTTACCTTCTCAATAACCGCCTCCACCTCCTTTTCTCTTTTTTGGTCCAGCATGTAGGAATGCCTCTTCTTCAACTCATGCCACTTGTTGAGCTTGTTTATTAAAGATTCCATCGAAGGGCCGCTTGCAAGCCCAAGTATATAGCCCATGTCTTTTCCACCAGGGCATGCCATATGATCAAAGAAACAAGGAAGACACGATGCATGGAAACATTGGGGAAGAAAAGGGCGAGGGGCAGAGTACATCCACCGGCAACTATCTTCTTTCAAAGTTGAAGCTGGAGTTTAAAAGCATTTTTGAAGGAAATAGAAGATTCCATCTCACTGAAAACATGCAACAGCAAGATGAAATAAACTCATAAAAAGCATATTTGCTTCCAAAAAACTTGAAGTATCTCCTCATGGACCTAAAACCCTTTATTTTACATGCCCCATATGGAAAAGGAGATCATCTTCTGCCATACACACATAGACTTCTATATGGACGATTCTGGGCTGAGCTATCCCTGCCCTGTGTTCTCCATATTTGGGAACATGAAGTCTGGAAAGCCCATTCAGGTGCTTGTCAGAAACTTCTTTCCTTACTTTTATATAGAGCCTGCTAACGATAAAGAGTATAGGAAGGAGGATATAAAGGAGTCTATCCAAAGACTTGACATCAAAGCAACTGTGCTAGAAGTTGAGCCTGTTATGAAACAAACCATATTAGGATACACAGAGGGCAAGAAGAGGTTCTATAAGGTGACCCTCAATACTTCCCATTCTTCAGCAGCCTTGCGGGCATTTCTAGAGAGTGGAATATCTATTAGAAGTGAAAAAGTTCGGTTCCGAGTATATGAAAGTGGATTTCCCTTTGTATTGAGATTCATGTGTGACCTTGGAATTGTTGGGATGAGTTATCTCAAGGTAAAAAGCTATGAAGTGTTAAGTACCGAGCACTTGACTCTGAGCACATCTTATGAGTTTTTGGAAACCTTACCACCTGCAGGAGAATATGCTATCCTCCCCCCTCTTAAGATTCTAAGTATAGATATTGAATGTATAAGTGCAGGGAATTCCTTCCCATCTTCTAAATCCGACCCTATAATTCAAATAGGAAACACTCTAATGCTACTTGGAAGTGATAAACATGTAAGCCAGGACATCTTCTGCCTGAAGGAAACCACAGGGATACCTGGTGCCAATGTTTATTGGTATGACTCAGAGAAGGAGCTTTTGGAAAGCTGGAAGAAGTATTTCATGGAGATAGACCCTGATATCATTGTAGGATACAATATTAAGGGGTTTGATATTCCTTACATCCTTGACAGGGGAGAGGTCTTAGGAATCAATAACTTTTCCATTCTAGGAAGGTCGAGAAAGAAGGCTAAGACGAGGGACACGACGATGTCCAGTAATATGTTTGGGTCCATAAGTACCACAGAGGTGGAGATTGACGGAAGACTGATTGTAGACATGATGATTGTAATACGAAGAGACTACAAACTGAGAAGCTATTCACTGAACTCAGTTAGTATTCATTTTCTCAAGGAGCAGAAAGAGGATGTCCCCCCGTCCTCCATAGGGGAGCTCCAGTCCAAGGACAAGGACACTAGAAGAAGAATAGCCTCATATTGCTTGAGGGACACGGTGCTTCCGCTTCGTTTATTCAGTACTTTGAATGTTCTGATTAATTACACTGAGCTATCGAGAGTAACAGGAGTGCCCATTGAGTACTTCTTTACTCGAGGAACAGCTATCAAGATATTTGCACTTATTTACAGAACGGCTGCAAAGGAGGATTTTATAGTTCCTGAAATCGATCCATTTGAATCAAACAAGTCTTTTGAGGGAGGCTTTGTTATCGAGCCTAAGAGAGGGTTCTACAACAAACCTGTGTCTGTGATGGACTTTAGCTCTCTGTATCCTTCTATAATGATAAGTAATAATCTTTGTTACACCACATTGCTTACGAAAGAACAATACAGAGTCCTTGGAGGGATTAAGACCCCAACGGACAATTATTTCTGTAGTGCCGAAACGAAAAAAGGTCTTCTCCCAAGAATCTTGATCGATTTACTAGACTCAAGAAAAAGAATAAAAGAGGAATTGAAGAAAGAGAAAGACCCGGCTCTAAAGGCGTGTCTGAATGGGAGGCAGCTGGCTGTAAAGCTCTGTGCAAACTCATTGTATGGGTTCACAGGGGCATCAAAAGGAAGGCTTCCTTGCTTTGAGATATCTCAGAGTGTAACTGGGTTTGGAAGGGAAATGATTAACTTCACAAAGAATCTAATTGAGGAGAACTTTTCGAAGAAGAATGGGTACACTCATGACTCTGTTGTGATCTATGGCGACACAGACTCTGTTATGATTGATTTCAACGAGGAAGATATAGGAAAGGTTTTTGAAATGAGCAAGGAGATATCCAGGTTCATAACCACCAAGTTTGTGAAGCCTGTGTCTCTGGAGTTTGAAAAGGTTTACTATCCGTACTTGCTCATTAACAAGAAGAGATATGCTGGGCTACTTTACTCTAACCCAGATAGCCCAAGCAAGATAGATACCAGAGGAATTGAAACTGTAAGAAGAGACAACTGCGGGCTTGTCAAAGAAGTTGTTGAAACTGTTCTTGAAATGATTCTATACCAAAGGAATGTTGAGAAGGCCAAGAGGTTTGTTAAGAGTGTTGTAGGAGACCTGTACTTAGGAAGGATAGACTTAAGCCTCCTAGTGATTTCAAAATCATTAACAAAAACGGGAGACAAGTATGGAAGTAAGCAGGCTCATGTGGAGTTGGCCGAGAAGCTTAGAAAGAGGGATGAGAGCACTGCACCGGTACTTGGAGACAGGGTTCCATATGTGATAGTGAAGAAAGGAAAAGGGATGGCGGCATATGAAAAGAGTGAAGATCCTGTGTATGTATTGGAGAATAATCTTCCTATAGATACAGAATACTATATTGAACAACAACTATCAAAGCCTTTGAAAAGGATATTCGACCCTATCATGGACAATGTTCATGAGCTGTTTAAGGGAGACCACACAAGGGTCACATCGTCGATATCTCTGAAGGGGCCGATAAATACATTTCTGAAACTTGCAGATGTTTGCATTGGTTGCAAAGCAGAGGGAAAGATAATATGTGGTAATTGCGTGAAGGATTTCCATGTGTATTTTCAGAAAATGCAACAAGAGGTAGAGGACAAAAAGGAAAAATTGAACGGCTGCTGGGTGGAATGCCAAAGATGCCAAGGAAGCATCCATAGCCAGGTACTGTGTGTTAATAGAGATTGCCCTATCTTCTACATGAGGACAAAAGTAAAGAAGGAATTAGCCCCTCTTAATGAAAAACTTAAGAAGTTAAGGTCCTTTTCTTGGTAGTAGGGAAGACTAAAGTAATAAAGAAAACCTGCGATAAACCCTCTTCTTTAGTTAGGAAAAAGGAAGTGTGCCACTCAGCGCCTTCATTTGTGGGAGAGGATGTTATGGTAAAGCAGCATATCAAGCATGCACATTTATTGAAGCAATTAATAGCCAATATACTTGATACCCATTCTTTTCAAAGAGTGTAAGATATCAGAGCATGTGATTGTCTTTCTCTTGGCATGTGTGGCATAAATACATGCAATGGAAAGAGTGTCTCTGATATACTCTCTTGCTGCATTGTTTATCTCCTTAAAGCAGCCGCCCCCAACTCTTCTTACACCTGCACGCCGAGCAATTCTTCTTATTGCAGGCTTGGATATGCTATCTGTCAAGCCGGACTGCTTTCTGTGCCTCTTTGCAATACCTTTTGCTGCCTTACTTTTGCCTTTAGCACCAATATTCGGAATGTTCATTTAGGGGATTGTGTTTTGATGTTTTATAGTTTTATTTTTGGCGGGGAGATTCCCTCCAATGTAATTGCTCTATTCAGAACATTCTATTTTGGATGTTCTGACCATTCTGTCTGAAGGGCGTCTTTTTGTCTATTGAATAAAATATATGGGAGTTTTGAAAGGTCAATGAAATGTTCAGTTTCTACCAACCATTCTATGTAGGCCATACTGATATACTATATTGAATACTCTCCATTATCTCTGAACCATATACCTAGTAGCTCCTGTTTGGTGTTTGGCGCGAAAATCTCCCGGCAAATAAAATTATAAATATATGATGAACATGAGGACTAAAAATGTCAAGGACAAAGCAAACCGCATCCAAAGCACTTGGAGGAAAGGCACCAAGGAAGGGTGTGTCCATAAAGTCCATCCCATCTTCTGGATCTTCATCTGTTATGGCCAAAAGAACAAGGTTTAAGGCTGGGGCCCTCGCCCTGAAAGAAATAAGGAAGTACCAGAAGAGTACCGATCTGTTGATAAGAAAGAGGCCGTTTCAAAGGATGGTTAGGGAGTTATGTAAAGGAGGAGAGGGCATGAGATTCCAAGCCTCTGCAATTGTTGCCTTCCAGGAAGCTGTTGAGAATTTCTTGACGAACCTTATGGAAGATGCTTATAGATGTGTTCTTCACGCCAAGAGGGTAACTCTAATGCCAAAGGATATATGTCTTGTGTATAAGATAAAGTATGCAAACATTTTGTATGCAGCCCTTGATTGAAATAAAGCATCTTTTTTTCTTTCTTATGCAAGTTTTTTCCAACCGAGAGCGGCGGGTGAGATATTTGGATTATAAACCAGGCCCTCCATGGGAGATACTGTTTACATAGTCCATAGACAGCTTGAGAGGATACCGACCATTCCAGAGCATGCTCGGACAGTTGATCTACGGCGGAACAATATATCAAGAATGGTTTTGAATAAGGCTGAGCTCGTCGAGTATCTTGATTTGTCGGACAACCGAATAAGAGAGATTTCGGACCTTGAGAATGTTCCAAGACTAAAGATACTGGACTTAAGCTATAACTTGATATCGGACATCTTAATACCCCGTATGGATATTGAGGAACTATACCTGATTTCAAACGATATTTCGACGATCCGTGGCCTGGATCTTCCTCGAATCAAGAAGCTGGACTTGGCTGTAAATGATATATGCAGGATCGAGAATCTAGGCAACTGCATAACGTTGGAAGAGCTCTATCTTGGAAGTAATAGAATAAGAGCGGTGGAGGGTTTAGAAGATCTGACAAGTTTGAAGATATTGGACCTCCAAAACAATGAGCTTGAGGTGGTTGATTGTTCCATGATACCTAGCAGTGTTGAGGTTCTTCTTCTTGGGGAGAATAGAGATCTTAGAGTAGTAGAGAAGACTGAGCACCTTCCTCGCCTGAGGATTCTTGGGTTGGAGAAGACAAGTGTTCCAAAAGACCTAATAGAGGGAGGGTTTACTATTTGGAGATGATCTCTGGATGTCAATGAATAAAAAGTAAATTCTTTAGTTTGGAGGATAGTACTATACTTTATTGAATAAGAATGACACCAAAACATCACCCATGGAGGGATATTCCGAGAAAGAGAGCAGGAAAGAATTGTTTACTATTCAGGACCTGATGAAGAGATCGGATGAGTTCTGGTCTAAGGATGATGACCATCTTGGATACACCAATAGGTTTGTTGTGTAATCAGGAGGATGGTAACTAACTAGTTTTCTTATAAAGATATTTTTCGAAGTTTTTGTATTGCTGTCTTTTAATGAAGAAATTTCTCAGTAAAACCATCCCATATGATGGTTGGTAAGTCTATCCTGAAGTTTCCATTTCTTAGTCTCAGAAAAAATATTTCGGAAAGTGTTGTTCCTAGGATTACAATATCGATGGCCATGCTTAAACCAATCAGTGTTATAATGCCAAAGGTTCTAAGTGACAATCTCTATAAAGGGGCGATGGCGCTTGCGACCTGCCCATTTGGTGTTGGAGATAGGATCAAAATCGACAAGTATGATGGAGTTGTAAAGAACATAAGTTTCTGGTATGTGATGCTGGAAAGAGGAAAGGGGTATGTGTTTATACCTACATCTCACATTTACAACACTGTTATCGAGATGTTCAAATAACTTGAATCTAAGGTCTTGCTGAGATGAAGCCTAGGAATCATCATAATAAATAGGGTTTATTATTCTCTTGTTCTTTCTCTGGGCCTGCATTTGACAATTGCATCACACTTAATTATCATTTGTGCAGCTTCAGATGCCGCTGTGATAACACGGTGCTTGATCCTAAAGCTATCAATCACCCCGGCTTCTTTCATACAACTTATGCCTCCACTCTTCACATTTACTCCATGGCTTACTTTCTCAGAATTATGTTTTGCTCTTAGACTTGCCTTTATCTCCTCTCCATTATATCCTCCATTGTCTGCAAGTATCTTTGGAATCTGCTGTAAGGCATTTGAAAATGCCAGAATGGCCTCGCTCTCGACCCCCGAAACCTCCATAGCATAATCGTTCAGTGCAACAGCCATCGCCATCTCACTCGACCCTCCTCCATAAACAACGCGCGGATCTTCTTTTATTCTTGACAGAACACATAGTGCATCATGAATACTTCTTTCTGCTTCATCTAATATCTCTTTTGATGACCCACATAGTACAACAGTGCTTGCTCCGTTCCTTACTCCACTGAACTTTATTACCCTCTCATTTCCAACATAGACATTCTTCACATTCTTACATGTACCATAAGAAGATTCATCTATATTATCAAAAGTACTCAGGATCTTCCCTCCAAGCACATTAGAAAGCCTTTCAACCCCATCAAAGTCTGCATGCTCGATAGCTTGAATCCCTTTTATTTTCAAGAGCTGAAGAGGATGATCATATATCAGCTGTCTATTGATAAACATGTTAACTCCATTCTGAGAAATACGCTCAACTTTCTCCCGGATCTTGGCCTTCTCCATTCTCTCCATCTCCTCTAGCTCATTGACAGAGGAGACATTAATCTTTGCACCGAATATTTTGATCTTATCCTGATCCATGCTGGTATTGGCTATCAGTATCTTTGGATCGTTCATCTCTTCTATTCTAATGTCCTTTTTTAGAAGGAACCCATCATCAAGATATGAATCCTCAAGCTTTCCAGAGCATTTGATGATTTGTACAAGATTCAAATCGTTCCTTCCCCCAAGATTCTCAATAGCACTGATACAAATGTCACAGAACTTCTCCAAATCATACTTCAGAACCTTTGAGCATAAGGTAGTTCTGGCAAGCTTGATCAAATCCTCCTTACTAGGCTTGAAGCTGATACTCTTCAACGTCTCCTCACATTTTGCTTGCGCCATTCTATATCCTTTGAGAATCCTTGTTGGGTGTATCTCTAGTTTACTGGCCTCCTTCACAAGCAAGCTTGCTAGAATCGCAACAGATGTGGTTCCATCTCCTTCCTCCCAATCCTGCCCAGTACTTGAATCAATCAGTATTCTAGCCGATGGGCTGTCAATCATCAGGTTCTTGAGAATAAATGCTCCATCATTAGTTACATTGACATTCTGCCCTTTCAACATCTTGAGCATCCCTTTGGGCCCAAGTGTCGTCCTCAATATGTCGCCCACAATATCTGTCCCCGCAATAATGGTTCTCCTTGCATCGTCACCTCTCTCCTCCGTGGTTCCCAAATTTGCATGGCTGAAGATGTTCATCTAGGGTGAAAATTTTGTTCTTCTTGTAAGCCCATGAATGAGGAATTCTTAGTGGCTCCACTTGTTATGAAGCCTACGAGAATATATAACTATACCCAGTTGATAGCATGTCTTAAGGCAAAGCAGCAGAGGCTGTCAAGATACAAGGTCTCTATACAACCCACACGTCTTAAGAACATCCTTAGGCCTAAGCAATACCAATTTGATGTGGAAGACGTGGTTAATGGGTTTCTGCATGAAAAGCTCAGGTCTAGGCAAAAGGAGCATGAGAAGTGTGTGGAAAAAATGTTTGCTCAGGATGTAAAGAAATATATCAAGGAGATGAAAAGAGAGAACGATCTCTTTGTTGTTGGAAGCAGCAAGGTCAGTGGGAAGATCAAGATTTTGGAAGAGGTATTTGATAAAGATGTTGAAGAAAAGGAGGGGATTCAGATGTCTGAGGTGGGTGGAAAAAACAAATACTTTGATGATGCCTTTCTGTTTGACATGTACATGTTTCTCAAGCAGTCAAAACCCTCAGACAACTTTGATCAAGAAATCAGGTTCCTTGGAAATGAGTATCTGAGATATGTGGAAAGGTTTCTAAAAGAAAATGCTGATAAAATCAAGGAGCCTCTTAGAGGAAATGAAGATAAGATATCGGCATTTACTAAGCTTCGTTACAGCAAGGAGGAATACGGGCTTGAGGTCTATGAAGGAAGGTACATGTTTGCAGAGTTATACACTCTTTTTAGATGTGGGCTCTTAGACTCTGTGAAGAACCTTCTTGAAAGATTCCATGTTTTTTTCGAGCACATTTCGCACAGGTTCAAGACAAGCTTTGGAAATTGGATCGCTACAAAGTCAAGGCCAGCCGTCCCTATAAAGATAGGAGGGACTGATGATCTCTTCAAGGCATTTCTCCTTGGACTAATGGATGAAAGAAATAGAAGGATGGATGAGTGGATCATTGGAAGCATTGAGGACTTTGTGTGGATGTGCCTAATTTCGATAAATGGAGAAGGGTCTGTCTCTGAGGTTCTAAAGATGTTCAGGAATTATCAGAACCCAAAGGGGCTTTTCCTGGCATATGTTATGCTAAAGGATTATGACAAGGCCATGAGCTTGATATTCAAAGGCGATTTCCTTATAATCCCCTCATACTTCATAATGAAAGCTCTTTGCCCAAGATGTACAAATAAGAAGGTATTTGTGGACTTTGTGTTTTTGGCAGCCTCACGATTCACATCAACACAAAAGAAGGTTGAGCTTATAAGTTCCTTGAAGCCCACGATAGAGGGGTACTATGAAATAGTTCCTGAAATGATAGTCAAGATGGGCCTGTATGATGTACTTGGAATTGACTCTGGAACATGCCTGTACCTTGACAAGAAGGTTAATCAAAAGGTTATTGAAATACTGAAAGGAAAAAACGAAAAGAAGAAGCTAATCAAGCTCTACTATCTTATTGATGATGAAGCGCTTGTTGTGAATCTCATTAATGAAGCCATCACTGAAGCTATTCTCTCTGACACAGACATAGATGAATATCTTGAGATCATTGAGTATTACGAAAAGGTGGAGTGTACAAAGCAGACAAGAGTAATGACTGCTCTTAAGAGCTTTTACTTGTTCAAGAAGAACCCAGGGACCTCTACTCTTGGAGCAACACCGTTACTGGACCCGGGTTTTGATTTGACTGACTTCAAGTATGTTGTTGAAAAGATATTTAAGCTAGCATGTGATGTTGTGGAGAAGGTAGGGGACAACGAGATGGCAAGAACATTGTTCAAGCTTTGTGGGGTTCTCGGACTTGGGGATGAGATGTCTAGTTATGCAAATAGACATCTTGTTCTACTCATATAACCTTTGCTACCTGAATGAGGTAAATTCTGGGTCTGATAGCCCATATACCTATGAAGTTCAATTCTGCAGATTTTCCTATTATGAACAGGATGATAGTAGCCCGGGAAGATGGAATACACTATGAGATGGAGAAGAACAGCTTGGCAGATACATGGGACAGACTATTGGAATATTACAGTGAGAAGATCTTAGAAGAGCACAGGGAGGAGGTTGAGGAAGAAGAACTTTATAGGATGCTCTCCAAGGCAAGGATCGAGGTGGAGACTGGAGGAAGAGTATATGAGCTGATGGAAAAGGGAGTACTTGATACATACAAAGTGAGGCCACGACATGTAGATAGATGTGAGTTCAAGGGATATATTTTGGACACATGCATCAGACTGTTGAAGAAGGGATACTCTGAGCTGGAAAACGCCATTAAGAAGGAAGCAAGAGTCTGGAGAAGTGTGGAGGGAATTGGTATGCCTACAAAGTTAGTGAACGGAGAGGTCCGGGTATATGTGACAAGCACCCAGTACTTGACTGTGACCGAAGAAGGAGATTATATATGCCCGACTGATTGGAAACCCCGTGGGTTAACATGTAGCATTAGGTATATGGATGTTAGGTTAGAATACTCTGCCCTTCCAAAGGATGATATGAACAGGATCGAAATGGCCAAAGAATACTTTTTTGAGAAATCGATTGTACAAGAGTTTTCTAGAAACGATGTTGAGATCAAGATATCAGAAATGGAAAAGGCTACAGAGAAGAACGACATGATTTGTATGTATGTGATAAAGGAGTTGAAGGGTGGGAAGAATATCAGAGAGATATTTTGCATGGTAAGCCTCTACCTTTCAAGAAAACTTGTTGACATCATTATATCCGGCCACAAGGAATGCAAAGTCCTGAAGTATAACGGTTGCATTCTTAAGGACGGGCTACCTGAGGTATTTTTTGTACTTGCTGGCAATGATGTTTTCAAGATCATAAGACGCATTCCAGACAGATTTGAGATATTTGTGAATGAAATACCAATCAAGTCTTTTCGAAAAGCCTAATGTAAGTTTATAATCTTCCCGGCCTCATCCTCTCTTTGCATAGATGTGTTTCCATTGAATAATAAATTACTTCGTCTACCTACACCCCTGCCATACTGGCTATCTAGATTGAGATTTATGGCCCAGATGATAAGGTGTGTCTACACAGCACAAAAGAGCAAAAAGTTAAAGACATGGATTGACGGGTTTGTAGAGCACAAGGGAAAAAGGCTTTATCTATACAACTCAGATATGATGAAGATAGATAGTTCGCTGGCTTCTGCTTTGGACAACGAGATGGAGACATACAAATATCTTGTTTATATCGATTCCTTCGAGAACTTTGACCAAGATGAGGTGGAAAATCAGGAGCAGATATCAGATCCCTCAGCGTCATCGAAGGGAAATTTGAACAAAGGTGTAAGAGGTAGTCATAAGGAAGAATGCTCGCCATCAAAAGGAAGGTCTGAAGAAGAAATAATAAACCTATTTGGAAAGTAAAGCCTGTTTTTATTACCTAATAGTCCTCTCAATGCTGCTTTCAAATAAAGATATTGCTTTTCCATCTATACCATTTAGCTTCAATTTGTTTCTCTTCTCGAGGACATATTCCCTCTGCTCATTGATATCAAATATCATCTTCCCTATAACCTCTTTGTAGATCCCCGTCCGAAGCTTCTTAAGCTCATTAATCACGACACTTGCCAGCTCAGGGAACCCAATGTTCTTCGAAAACATTGACATATGCTTCAGCAAAAGAGACCCTGCCTCCTCTATAACAAACATCTGATGTTCCTCGCTTTTACATCTCTCCATATCTGGGTTTAGCATATCATAGTCTATGCTTCTTCCACTTGCAGTAAGATTCTTCACTGATATTGCATTTCTCAGTATCCTAAGAATGTAAAAAGACAGCGGAGTATAGAACTTCGATCCTGAAATAGACTTGATGATTCGAAGGCAGAATATAGAGTGCGGATAGTCATTATATCTCTCCATCAACTCTACTAGGAGCTTCATATAATCCCTGAACTCAGAATGTCTTCTTAGACATTTTCCTAGAACTTCAGTTATGAATATGATCTTACTAAGATCCGGGTTTTTGACATTGACGTATTTCTCCAAGTACAGTATCTCATTATCGGCGTTTTTTGGATTCAGTACATAGCTCTTAATGTCTTCTGGAAGTGTTGATGGCTGGGATGTGTATAGTCTTGAAAGATAACTCTCTTCTAGTTCCATCTTGTTATCTGCTTGTGGCATTTTAGGGATTAAGAAATACGTATATATGCTTCTTG